ATTAATTTTTCAAAAATATTAATGATTTAAGCAAGGAAAGGGCTACATGTCAACACACAACTCTTTATTTCTATTAATGTCTCACTTCATTCCTACCTGATTGACATGTTTAGGAATTATGAGTGATTGGCTCACTGTAGGGGTAAAAGTTGCTACCAATCAAATTATGATATGTTAAAGTTAAAATAAAACACAACTGTTTTAGATATGATCTAATATACATTTTGTAATTATCCTTATAATTACAAAATGTTTTATGTAAGATTTAAGTTTTGTGATTTAAATCTGACATCACAAAAGTATTTTGGAATTTGAATAATGTATTTTGTAACTGCAGTACACATAATACAGATTTTGAACAATTTTGTCCAGGTTCCTTGTCACTGCGGACTCCTTCAGCACCAAGCGTTCAGTTACAGAGTCGGTGTGTCCACGGTGAGCCAGATCACCCCCAGGCAGCGACGGCCACCTGGGACTGTCTAGTGGACGACTTCATGGCTGTGCCTTCACCTGGAGACTGGCGGTCCATCACAGAGGGATTCCAGGAGCGCTGGAACTTCCCTCTGTGCTGTGCAGCTCTGGATGAGAAGCACGTCCAGACAAAAGCACCCTATATATCATATAGGAGACACACACATTGATATACACTAAATATTTATTTCATTTCTTTTTTGTGGTGCCCAAATTGATGCACCTGCTTGATTTTGTTTAAACAATTATTGCACACTTTCTGTAAATCCAGTAAACTTCTTTTCACTTCTCAAATATCACTGTGTGTGTCTCCTATATGATATATTTAACTGACATTTTTTATTGTAACAACCAACGATTTATACAGGAAAATAATGTCTATTAACAAGGTTGCCCAAACTTTTGCATTCCACTGTATTAGTATATTTTGTCATTAGTATAATATGAAATAAATTCTACATGTGTCAAGTCGTGTGCCAACATTTGCTGTGTAGTAGAACTGAGACATTAGTCATTATAAAAATTTATTTGAAATAATATTAGAATTCTCAAACAGAAAAACATTAAACATAAATATCTAAAATATAAGAATTTACAGAGAGACAGGAATAAAAAGGACCAGCTGCTCTCCAGAGCAGGAACAAGGCTGAGGAGGAAATGCTCCATTGGAGACTGGTGTGGACTCTTCAGGGACACCAGGATGGCCAGCTCCACCACCGATGGACCATCCTGGGACCCGTCCCTCATCTGCCTCGGAGCCGTCCTCCCCTGTGGGCCTGTAAAACAGCACAAAACACAAAGAAATGAGAAGGCTGCTACCAGATTTTAATTTCAACATTGAAAAAAACAAACAAACCAAAAACAGGATATAATCAGATTGGTTGTAGATATTTAGTAAAGGTGATCACAAGGGAACCCACCGACTAAAAAGGTATCAGTGCTTGCTGTACATATCTGTGGGTGCAGCAGCAGGAGCTCAGGGACTGGGCAGCCAGGAGAAGCAACAGGGGATGCTCTGCTTCAGAATCAGTTGGTTCTATCAATACAGTATTAAATGTTAACAGGTTGAAAATAATAATCGTAGAGTAGACAGTGGTCCCTCATTTATTGCAGCAGGGGTTCTCAGAATAACTAGCCCCTGGCCACGCACTTTATACACTGTTTTCCCCACACTCATGAACATTACTCACAGTTCTCACAATTGATTCTCAAAGTGCAAACCTTTGTGGATTGCAAAACGTAAAAGTATTATTATGCCGCGGTTTGTCTTCATCTGCCTGCCACTTTCGTGCGCCTTTTTCCCTCGCGGTGCAGGTGTGTATTTCCGAATGAGGCTCATAGTTATGGGTGTTTTTGTGCTGTTTTTTCTATTGGACGTGATGGTTATCAAAACCAAACATGATAAATTTGGCAAGCGCAGGAGACACGACACGGAGCAGATTTGTCAATCAGGCTGCAGAATGCAATGCTGTCCGGTGCAAAAAAAAAGAAAATGAAAAGAAAAAAAAAAGAGGCAGTGACGGATGAACAGCGGGACCACTGTGTGCTGTTTATTAATAAACAATAAAATATATTCTTAAATGACAACATGCCTAAAAGCAGAACGGTATTTGTACGTCAGTGGGAAAATAGCGGTGGCTTGCTAGCTTTTGTGCGGCATCCCCGGGTCAGAGAAAACTTAAGAAAAATTAATTAACTTACCAGGTTGCCCGATCTCTTTACATATCTTCCTACAAGCTCGGTCCTTTATATTCCTGTCTCGGTCCAGAAAGCAGCTGGTGTCGTACAGCTACGGGTTGTTTGCTACGGCACTGATTAGCCTTCCTTCTATTGAAGAATAAAGGGCTTTGGCTGGATCTGCCCCTTTGAACTAGGTAACAGCCACGTCACCAGGCTCCTGATTGGTTGTCGCGGCGCGATTTGACGCTGGAGTTCAGATTTTTCCAACTCGAGCGGGGGGACGCGAAACGCGTGTATGCACAAAATGCAACACATAAACTCACGCGCGTGGTTTTTTTCGCGAGTCAAACGCCTGAAACGCGCTACACTCACGCGCGTTTCAGGCGTTTTGGCGTTTTCGCGACGCAAATCTGCTTCCGAATTTTCGCGGGAGCCGCAATCGCGGGTCAGCGCGCCTTTCCATTGACTTTACATGTAAGCCTGACGCTCTGCCTGCCTCTATCGCGTTCGGTGTGAATGTTGTTGTCGCATTTCAGGAGGACGCTGCTAAAATAGTTACACAATTACACAGTGAATTCGCGTTTATTATTTACAAAATATCACAGTTTTTGTCTTGGTTGTATCATTTTTTGTTGTTTTTATCCGCGACACCTTAATGACCGGTCCGTGAAAATACTGTCGGACATTAGACCGGTCCGTGGCGCAAAAAAGGTTGGGGACCGCTGCTTTAAACTGTTGTAAATGACCCGTCGTCCTATAATCTGTGGAACATACGAAATCACCTTTTGGGACAATGGCATCAACACCAAAAATAGCTGGCTGTGTTTACAGCACGGCACCAGGATTTCTAACAACTGATTCAGTTCACCCGAAGAAAAACATTAAAGAAGCATAATTACTTAGAAAAGAAGAAGAAGAAGCCACATTGGAGGAGGAAAAGGGAGGAGAGATTGTGAACAATGTGTGAGCCAAGTTTGTTCCAGTTTCGAAGTGCTGTTTCTAGATGACAAACTAATCTTAAGGAAGTGTTGCTCACACTTCTCCTTTTCAGTCAGCCTCAATAATCTAGTGGAGATGTACGCGATTCCTAAAAATCGGTGTGAAACGTGGATGTGTGAAAAAGTTTTGCACATGAGATCTTGCTGAAACACAGTAAAGTCGAAATAAAATCCAGGAGCAGATAACTCAACTAAAATAATGGAAATAGGTGACATATGCACATTTAAGCAGGTAACAAAAGGCACAAAACCAGCCGGACACCAGGCAGATACATAGATGATACTATAATAATAAGATAATACTAAAAGAAAAAAGCTGACAATACCAAATACTTGAAAAACAATACGGGATGTGACTCACTGCATTATGTTGAACTATTGGCTGATTTTTTAGCTTTGTGTTTTCCTTTATGTAACAGGTTTTTCATCATAAATTGATGCAGAAAACACATTTGATGGAGGACCTCTGCAGACCAGAGAAATTAAACTGACACCTACCACCAGGGATAAAGCTTTTGTGCTGTGGATGTGGAAAGGACCCAAATGCAGACTTCTAATCAGGCAAAGTTAGTGTCACTACAGACAGGAGGACACAATCATCAATTCCCCAGGATTTACTTTCAAAGGTTTTAAGTAAAAAAACAAACAAACATTTTAAAGCAACACTGTCACCCTTGACATCACAAAAAGTATTTTTCAAAAATAAAACTTTAATTATTTAATTTTTTAAAATTGCGTCATTAATCAGAGTCTCATTGGGTGAAAATATATTTGTTGAGAGGAATTAGAGCAATAAGCATTTATAAAAACATCAGATGATGGAAATAGAACAACAGTATAAATCGAGTATGAATAAACGGCTGCAAACATCATCCGCACAAAATCCAAGAGGAATCTACAGATTTCTGTAGACTGAGGTGTTTAAGGTTTATTTGAAAGGTTCAGATTACCTGAACAGTTCTGCCACGGTTACTGGACACTGTCTGTAGTTTTTAGATTTAAATGAAAGGTGTAAGGCAACTAGAGGTAGAGCTTTCTAAAGAAATAAAGTGAGTGCTTCTAGAATTAGACATTAAAACTGTCACAGAAAATGTGCTAAAATGTAAATGTTTCAATGTTTTTCTTGTTTTGTTTCTATATTTCTGTATTTCATTATGTTACATGTCTGCATTAAAGTAAAATTTCAAAGTCAAGATAGCTGAATTTTACTGACATAATTTAAATGGAACTCTCAGTTCACACACTGTAAATGCATTAGAGGATGTAAAAAATAATATTAAAAGTTAATAGATAAACTATTAAAAACATCCAGCACAGAGTTAAATGGCACTACACAACTGTAACACACGCAGTAATAAATTACATTAAAGTAAAGCTACACAATCTTCAAAGAGGACCACTTTTGTGAATATCAGTCTTTACTTTGGACATATCCTGACCTTAAATGCAGCACACGCACACACATATGCAGCCAGGGGAAGTATCTGTCTATATCTGTTGTGTTTTTTTGTGTACATTAGTGTGTCAAAAGGTCACATAATAGATGCAGAGGAAACTGGTAATAATAATGAGATAAAGTGATCCAACTGGACGGAATGAAGCAGCACTGAAGGTGAAATAAGTCCTCCATGAAACGTCTGAGCCTGAAAAATATGAAAAATAATTAGTTTTTTTTAAACCTATAATGTTATTTGCCTAGCTATATATTTATTAATACATATATTTGCTTTTATTTTCTGGTAGATTTGATTTAAATTGAAGAAATATTCCTCTGACTTAGTGTTACACCTCCATAAATAAAAGGTAGGCCAAAGGATGAATTTTAGTCCTTTAGTACAAATGTGTTTGGTATCAGGTCAATGTAAAAGTATATAGACTACCTGATATAGTTGCCTCAGAAAGAGACATCACCAAGTTGTTTTCAATCCTGAAGCTGTAGGTGTCACTGACTTGGACCGACAGCAGTGTGCTGAAGATGCTGAATATCCCCTCAGAGTTTTCTGTGAAAGTGGAGCTTCCATTCAGGATGTTCTCAGTTTGGTTTAACCATGAAACGCTTGGCTTAGGGAACCAACTGACTGCCTCAGCAGACAGGGTGCCATTTGAGAAGGTGAAAGTGGGCGCTGAAAAAGCTGATGTAATAAAAGAGGGAAGAAAAAAATCCTGAATTAATATTGCAATCAAGAGTGAAGCTTCACTCAGTACTCACATTACTCAGAACAGCACGTTGGTTAAAATTCCCAGCATTACAAAAACTAGAAATACCCTTATACCATCTTATTCCAATGTGTTGCAAACCATGCTGCTAATGAATGCCAATAAAGAATGTTTAGATAAACACACAATTAATCTTGAAGAGTGAGTCATCCTACCTGCTGTTCTGAGTTGAATGCTGACCTCTCCTCCACCTTTAGAGGAGCTGATGCTGCATGTGTACTTCCCCTCATCACTGCGTCTCACATTCCTCAGCAGCAGAGAGGCATTGCCTGTGACTACAGCCTGAGGGAAGAGCTGAGTTCTCCCACTGAACTGTGACGCCTGATTCGTCAGATCCGGAGCTCCATTCTGATAAAAGTAAACCAGGCCGTTCAGGTCCGTCTTCTTCCAGGTCACTGTCACTTTGTCTTGGGAAGTTTGTGTGTCAAGATAGCAGCTGAGCAGCTGATCCTCACCAAGGTTGGCGACAGGCTTTGTACTGCTGCTTATCACATTGGACTGGGGCTCTGTGGGATGTGGACATTTTATACACATATTATAGACTAGCACATTTGAATCAGTTCCAATTTGTTGACAACTTAATAACCGATTTAAATGATATTTAGTGAAAGTGTTGTTTGCTTTTGGCAGTTATAAAACTTTTAGCAGGAAGATTTTAAGGACAAGTTCACATTTTTCACATTCACATATCCTGAGAGAGAGAGAGATAGAGACTGTGATTTCAAGAGATAGTTCAAGCAAAGCTATGACTATTTAGGGGTCTGAGTTAGTAAAAGTGATTAAATTCTAAAGACACAGATAGATAGACTGTATATAAAAGATGCTTCTAGCATACAGGTCTGAAAAACAAAGCCAGGGTGGAAATGTCCTATACCTGTCTTCTTTCTACTGACCAGCAGAGGGCAACCATTGTAGCTGTCAGGAAAAGAAATCTACTTCTCACTTGATTTATAACCTCAGTAAATATTTTCCTAATGCCTTTATGGTCTCAGTCAGTAGTATTATGACTTTATCATGTTTAGCTTGGAAATTATCGTGCCATTTATAAAAATAACCCACTCAAAGTGCGGTATGCTTTTTACTCTGTGACTGATGACTCACTACTGTATGAGCATGGCGTGTCCTTTGGTTCACAATCAGATCTTTTTTGGCATTCAGTTAAATTAAAAAAAGAAGTCCTTTTTTCAGGTAATAACATTGCACATATTTAATAAATTTGTAACTTAATAAAACTAACATGCCAATTAATCTAGCTTGAATGCTAGCTAGATATCAGCTTCACACATTCTTCTAAAATATAGTCACGCCCACTTTCAAGACATCAACAAGATGATGGCCAAAATACCAATTTCACAGGTTCATATAGGACAGGATTCCACAGTAAAAACTCAGGCGCACCATGGTTATGAATGAAACTATCAAATGATATTTAAAGTCAATATTCCCTTAATACCATGTTAAACCAGCACCAGTCGAGCATACCTAAACACACATAAACATTTTCTCAAGGAAATGAAACATGAATATAGAGTATATGTGTTACTTGGCTATCAACATTATTTCTGTCAAGTGGAAAGTCAGCCTCACAAATATTTAGAGATCATCACACGTGCAGATACAAATGAATATTCACAGTTAAACACTCGATGCTGTGCTGTGCCGTGTTGCCGTCCACATGGATTAACTGTATTTTAGTTTAGACAAACACAGCACGTGGTGAGCACACCCATGTATCACCCCAGGCCTCACCGAGCCATCACTAATGACAAGAGGATCCAAACAGATCTGTGGGTCTTACTTGAGAAGGCCAGAGAGAAGAAGAGGATGATGAAGAAACTAAGTATGACGATGATGACGAGCATGCTGTACAAAAAGAAAAACACAAGTGCAATTGTAACAAAACACATAGTATTAGTTTTTAAAGATTAGTTTCATAGCAGTTCTTCAAATAGCTTCTATTATTCTTCCTGGAACTGTAGGGTTTGGGCTCCATGCGTTGTGTCTTTTGGGTCTCGTGATGATCAGGACAAAAAACCCCATTGCAATAAGAAAGCTGGAGATTGTTTTCAATTCTTCTGTAAGTGTTTTCTTTGTGGTTCAAAAATGTTAATATTTTGTCCTGACAGAAATTTAAAGGAGAAATTTCTCTTTGACAGACTGTCAACAACTTTTATTTTGTTAGGGATCACATATTTAAACTAGTTGTGAAGCATAAGTTTAATCTTTAATAACATGTTGTTGTATTATAATCTGAAACTTTAGAAGTAATCAGCAACTACAGCTGTCAAATAACATCAAAAGTGAGATGTTTTCTTTCTCTACTGATGCAGTAAAAGCAAACATACTCGGTTACCACTGGAGACACCTAAATATTTTCAAAGTTGAATGACAACACTAAATATTCCTCATGGTCGCACCTGTAGAAGATGATTTGTCCGAGCGTGGCCATGGCTCCTGATGAAATCTCTTGAGACCAAGAAAAAAGGCAATTATTTATTCTTTATCCACTTTTTTATCCAAGTAATATATTTCTGCTGCTGTCTGTCAGCAGCCTGCACAGAACTGTCTGCTCAGCCTCTCTCAGAGCACTTAGAAAATACAATACAACACCATAAGTAAATATTACTTTTAAGGTGTGTTCTTCATTTTGGTTGACAGGTCATCATCCAGCTCGTTTATCTTATCAAAATAAAAGTTCATGTGACTGATTTACAAGAGAAAGAGATTATTTTTGTGATGTTAGTTAAGCTTTTACAAAGTGAAGGGATTACATCCAGAAAAACATTTTCACAGTAGTTATGACATAGAATATGTTTTTCATGTATATATTTATAGCATGCAGTACCGACTGCTGCTGGTTTTATTACGGCAAAAGCATAATATGCATACAAGGAAAAAGAGTAGCACCCTGGGCTTGGCAAATTTACTCAAGGTGGACAAAATTTGATCTGTCGAGGAAAAAGAGAACATTCGTAACACTTGTTTATTTATGAAAAGGACCAAACATTGTTCACTAAAATAACAACAGAAAAAATAGATGATGAGAATCTCTGGTGATATTTTTGGCATTTCAAAACAGACGATTAGCCTTATTCATACTAATAGCTGCTTGGACTGAACTACAGTATCGAAAGAAATGTGGCGTGCAACACTTGTGTGACAAGTGAAGACATTACAGAGTCCTCTTGACCACTGAGAAATTCTGCCAACCTCAAATGTGTACATCAAACTGAAACTTACGCACATGTATGTCACATCATATGATCTTATGAAACAAGAAACATTTTCTTTTTCAGTTTTTATTTTAGTTTTGCAAGAGATGTGAGCATGCAACTGTGAAATCTAGAGTTTTTAAACTGTTAAGCCATAAAACAAAATGAAAGGCTTAGTTTTTGCTTTGTAGCAAACAACAAACACATATATTCTTGGTGCAAGCATTTTGTAGTAGATAACTGCAACCAAAATCCTACTTTCTTGACAATCCTTGTTAACGATTAGCGTTAGAAAGGTGCGCATTATGTAAAATGTTATTTTGCTATAAAAATGAATGCTCAAAATGATCAAATTACACAAACATACATGAAATTATAGCACACAAGCCACAAACCCTTAAAGCAAATCTTTTTTTGCCCTTACCTCAGTTCTAACAAGCTTGAAAGCTAACAGTTAGTATGTCCACCTTTGTTCTTCAACACAGCCTCAACTTATGCAAGCATTCTTGTAATTTTCAGATGTCTTCAGGACTAGTGCTCCATGATTCTGGAAAGATAGTCAAAGCTCTTTATTGGAGGCACTTGGCAGGCCAATCAATGACTGATAGTGCTCCATTGGGAATTTTTCTATCTAGCTATGCTTTTACTGTATTGACAGTGTGTTTGGTATCACAGTCATGCTGAAAAATGAAGTCTTTTCCTACCAGGTGCTTTCTAGATGTTATTGTATTGTCATGCATGGTGTTACTTGGTGCATTTATTAGGCTGGACGACTGTGATTCATCATTGTCTAAAAGTTCTTTGAAAAGCATTCAGTTAGTCAAGAACGCTGCAGTGAAAGTACTGACAGGGACTTGAAAGAGAGAGCATAATTCTCCCTTCTCTTCACTGGCTCCCGCTTAATTCCAGAGTTGAATTTAAAATCCACATCCTTACATGCAAGGTCTTGAATAACCAGGACACTTGATTTCTTAAATAGTACTGTATTATTCCAAGCATTTTGCTCTCAGACTGTGAGCTTACTTGTGGTTTCTAGAGTTTTTAAAAGTAGAATGGGAGGCACAACCTTCAGCTTCCAGGCTCCTTTCCTGTGGAAAAAGATTCAGGTTGAATTCAGGAGACAGACACTCTCTCTACATTTTAGATTAGGCTCAAAACTTTCCTTTTTGATAAAGCATATAGTTAGCGCTTGATCAAGTGACCCTAAATCCTCCCTTAGTTTCACTGCTATAGGCCAAGGTTGCCTAAAGGCTCTGAGGGCTTCTTCTTCACACCTCTCTTTTTGGTCTCCATGTGTTTATACCTCTAAAAACTAAATTTAAACTGTGGTTCTCTCCCATGTGTATCCTTTGTCCTGTCTTTCTCTGCTTTTCTCTTCCCACCCAACTGGCCGTGGCTTTAAAAAGGGAGTTTTTCCTTCTTACCTTGGCAAAGTGCTAGGTGTATCTCTCACATCCTGTGTCAGGTATTTGCTGATTATTTTTTTATTTCTCTAGAACATGACTTTCAGATACTGTCCAGCTTCTGTAGATAGTTTTTTTTTAATACCTACCATTTCTTAGTTATAAGTTTTCATCATATTGCAAAAATACTGTTTTATGCCAGTTAAACTGCTTGTTTTATAGATTAAACTAAAAACATGTGAATAAATGTGTTTTTACAACAAGCTGCCAGTAACAAAGTGCCTTATGATACAATTTACAATTGCTGTTATGAGACAAGTTGTTGGTGTAGACACAACACATTCCTTAAGTTAGGTCATTTTTATTACTGGTCACAGTTAACCAACTTTAACCTGATATCTTATTAACCATATCACTATGTTGTTTGAATAACTTTACTGTGTATTTCCTGAAATTTCCCTCCGTGATGTTGTCCATTAGTGAATAGAATCTGTCTGGAAAACCCTAAAAATGTATTTGAGAAGTGAAAACCAAGATTTGCATCATTCTGAAAGTACTTAAAACAGCCTCATTGTGGTAAACCATGGGCACATAATGTATTTAAAGGCAATATAATGGTACTATATGCTTTATGCTTCAGAATTATTTTTCATTTTCACTCAGCCATTGGAGGAGGAACATTTCAAAAATCTAACTTACTAACTTAAGACATCCGATACTAATTTCATCCAGGATGGCATTTCCGGAGTTTACTTACAAACTTCTTCAAGTAATCAGAAATTCTGTGGGTGTTTTGGTGCTCATAGTCATCTTCTACATCCTGCAGTACATTTTTAACATGCATTTTTTATGCTCGTGTGAACCGGGCCTGCATCCAAATGGTGTACTGTACATGGCTCTGCCTCCTTTGATCCTCTCCTTTATTGTCATCATTGTTGAACCTTTTCACCAAAGAAAGATTTTTTACTGGTGTCACTCTCTCTCGAGATGTGCTATGTGTGTTGGCAGCTATGTCTATAAGGTTTTCATTAAGTGGATCAGTTTGGCGGCTGTATGGATATCTGCTGTTCTTTTTGATGGAGACTGGTTCGTTTGCCTAAAGACAAACTTCAACAAGAACCAGACTGGAATTCCATGCAAACAAAATCTGACCTATGAGGAGCAACGGATTATAGGAGACTATATGACTCAATCACTTGTAAGTAACAACACACAACAATCATGCAACATCAATTTGACTAACATCATTTTTAAACTAAAATTCACATGTTAAAAAATGTAAGACAATGAAATTTTGTTACATTTAAAAGCATTTTAGTTCTACCTCCATGTAAGGAAAGTATCACAATGTTTTACTTAGTGCGCTCAGAGCATCAAGTGGATGCTTGCGCAAAATTCAAAAGCTGTGTGTCTGACTGACAATAGAGAAAGAAAACATCACTTTAACAACTGTCCATGCTCAAAAGACCTTTATGTACTGCCAGGTTATTGGAAGCTGAATGTTAAGAAAAGCAAAAAGAGTTGAAATAAACTTGAACTTGACTAAAAGAACAAACCTACATTTAAAACAAGTATGTGAATTGTTTTCAAACTGTATCTTTTTTTTCTTTTCCAGGATTATGGTCTTTTTCTCATCTGTGGTTTTTTATTTGTCTGGACGACCTGTGAAATTAAAAGACTGTCTTGCAGCTGTTTTAAAACAAGGCCACGCTGTCAGCCTTACTACAGTGTAGTATTTGAAGACCTTCTAGCAGAGGAAGTCAGTATTCACCTAAACGACAAACTAAAAAAAATGGCAACAGAAAAAGCAGAAAACATCTGTAAGCCCTACCTTGAAGCTATTAAGCTGTCAGGAAACAATGATGATAATGACGATGCAAACACTGCTGCTTCCGAAGCCTGGGAGAAAATTTCCATCCCTGGTTTCTACTTGATGGAAGATGAGGAACAATAAACAGCTGGAGACACTGTAGCAATATTTTAAACTGTCATTTGTTAGAACCTTTACATCTATAAAAGTCTGTATCTCATATGTACATTTCATGTGGACATTTTATTTAGTCAGTTATCTATTTACCTGTTAATTTAGAAGACGTTTTACAAACGAAAATCTGTGTTATAACCTTTTGATAAGTTTTTCCTATATATTTCCTAAATAATTTTACTTTCTTTCTACTTTCTTTGCAATAGTTTACTACACTAATTTTGAGAGAATATGACAAGAAAATTATACATATGATCGTTTTCTATTTATTTGTGTCAGAAAATATTGTTCAACATTAAGAAAACACATGGCAAGGAAAGAACAGTTCAAACAATAAACTTAAATGTAAACAAAAATGGAATACATAGTATTTTTCACTGGAATTAAAATGTGCATCAACTGGCTCATGTCTGTGCAGCCCAATTTTACTTTTTAAGTGTGTGTGTGTTGGGGGGGGGGGGGGGGGGGGGGGGATGTGTGTGTATGTATCCATGATTGTTTATGTTAATAAGAGTGTGGGGAGTGAGTTGGAGGGCGGGGTGGGGTGGGCTGCTTTTAACCATGTAAGGCACTTTGTGCTACATTGCTGTATGAAAAGTGCTTTATAAATAAAGATTGATTGATTGATATGATTCTTTTGAGTATAATGTACTTAACATTGGTTTTTTGTTTTTGTTTTTAGATAAAAGGAACTACAATTCAGCCATGAAAAGTAGTCCAATAATAAAGGAGGTGTATTAAGCAATAATGTTCATGTTCCAATTAAACATAATTTTACTCTTGAGGACATTCCAGTCAGTGAGTATTCCTGCTGTCGTCTTTTCTGGATGAAACTTGCATGCAGAAGGAGAGCCTGGTATTGGCAGACTGGGACTGCAGAGGGCACTTTGCTGGAGATTCCACCATCGTGAATGTGACACTTACAAATGTAGGGTGACAATATGGAGATGTAATTGCATGGGGTCGCCACAAAATAATCACAATCAGAATCAGAATACTTTATTGAGCCTTAGGGGATCCCTAGGGATTGGCTGCTGCAATGCTCCTGCACCTCAGATGAGGAAGATTCTGCAGTCATCATACACTACCAATCAAAATTTTGGACACACCCACTCATTTAATGTTTTTTTGGCTTTATTTTACATTGTAGATTCTCACTGAAGGCATCAAAACTAGAATTAGAATTTTTTCCATCCAGAACTGCCTTACTTCTTTGTTGCATAGATTTAAAAATGTGCTGGAAACTTTCCTCAGAGATTTGTGGATAACAACACAGTATGTGTTTATGTGTGCTTCACGGGTACAGGTTTAGTATGGTATTGATAGAATATTAACTTGTATATCATTTGATAGAGTTTCATCCACAAGCACGTTTTTATTTATATGGCATGGTATTTTTTAAATGGCACTTTCCAAACTAAACATGATAAAGTCATAATACTACTGAATGAGACCATAAAGTCATTAGAAAAATATATACTGAGGTTTTAAATCAAGCGAGAAGTCGAGTTCTAGACAGCTACAAGGTTGCCCTCTGCTGGTCAGTAGAAAAAAAGACAGGTATATGACATTTCCACCCTGGCTTCCTTTTTAACCTGCATTGTGCAACTATCTTTTATATACAGTCTATCTGTTTTTATGTTTGGAATTTAACCTTTTTTTTCTTTCCTTTTTAACTAACTCTTAAATAGTCATAGCTTTTCATGAACTATGGCTTTTCTACTAGGAGTAAAGATTTTATTTCTTGAAATTACAGTGACTCTCTACCTCTACCTCTGGAGTTACTGTACAGCTCTTCTTCCATTTAAATCTACATAAATACAGACAGTGTCTAGTAACCATGGCATAACTGGTTTCAGGTACTCTGAACATTTCAAATAAACCTTTTTAATAAATATTCTTGATGAGATGGAACTGGCACTATGCCTTTCAAAAGCATGTAAACATATAGCTCAGTGCTAAGCCAGTTTCTCACAGATCCACCTCAGAGTAGCATCACATGAGCGGTCGTTCCAGTTTTCTTCTGTATCCTTGCCAGTTCTAATATGTGCACAGTCTTCTTCACCCCACTTTGGATCACCACCACCGTTATCAGGCTGCTCAGCCTCCCAGTACCTAACAGGTTTCAGAACAAGACAATGGTGACACTGTTAATCTCTAATATTAGAAGTCTTTCCATGATTCCCATTTTTGTACACATTTACATTTTTTTCTGTACTGAGCCTAAAAATGACAACTCCAGTAACACTGATATTTGTACTGCGCAAAATAAATCTTTGGTTTTTTGTGTGTGTAAGGCACCTCCTCTGCTTTATGGGTTTAGCAAATCTAAATGATTTAGTCTTAATGAACAGAGACATCGCAAGTCATTATTTAACCTCAAAGTTCTATGTATGGTGTATGATACAATAAAGGCTTTAAGTGGCATAAGTGGTAGTAATATGCTCACGTGTAGTATGGTGGTTTAGTTTGGTTAATGTCATTTTTGTTCTAGTGCACACGTGTCGAACTCCAGGCGTCGAGGGCCGGTGTCCTGCAGGTTTCAGATGTGTCCTTAATCCAACACAGCTGACTTAAATGGCTAAATTACCTCCTCAACATGTCTTGAAGCTCTCCAGAGGCCTGGTAACGAATGAATCGTTTGATTCAGGTGTGTTGACTCAGGGTGATATCTAAAACCTGCAGGACACCGGCCCTCGAGGCCTGGAGTTCGACAAGTGTATACTTTTTAAAGTTATTATTACATTTTTTTTTGACAGTGATTTTAAGGTTTAGTCTAGAACAGTTTAGAGTGGCAAAAACACTGGCCTGTTCACCATGTATGCTTGCTGGTATGTGTCAAAATACTGTCAAGAATTCCAGGATCAAATATAAATATTTTGGGATTCCTGTCTATCGCTTGTCTGTTGTGGTTCATCTGCGTATGCCATGGTACGTTTTTTCATTGGTATGTTTTAACTCAGATGCAGTTCTTGGCCTGCTTGAATGCCGCCCCATTAAAATATATCAAGTCTCTCCCATAAAGGGACAGAAGATCATGCTATTTGCCTTTATCATGTAAATTACTGCCACCTTGTGGCAACAGTTGAGTATTGTCTGTGGAAACAGCAATGAGAATCCATTTAAACTTTCTGTTGTCATGCGCATTTCAGCGTCCCATTATCAAAGCCTGGACCTCGGTCACTTTAGAGCCCAGCAGAATTTTGCGGTGATTTGCAAAAGCACACCATGGATAAATCCATGCTCTTTGATGGAAGACCAGAGTAGAAGCCAAGCAGAACTGTGATGTTCATGATCTGTAGGTGATTATACACATGCACAGATCAGTGTAGCAAATAAAAAGTAAATGAGCAAACTGTAAAAGCAACCAACTGAGAACCGCATCTCTGGCAAACAGCTAATGTACAGAGGTAGTTTCAAAGTGTAAAGTTAATACGTAGAATACATGCGCGATAAAATGTGGGTGGGGCTTAAAAATCAAATGTGATTCTTGACAGATTCATTCTCTAAAACCATAAACACTTGTATGTGTGACAAATAAATACAGAACATTCTTTGCATGCTGAGCAGCCAGCATTGCTTGTGATATCTTATGATCTGCACAACAAGTAATGCAAACTACCTAATCCTTTTCTTTTGTTCAAAATGGGATGCTCTTCAAATGCAAAAGTGATAAAAAAAGTGAAAAGAAACAGTGATATGTGGTGATTTGCATACTTTGTAAACATTTTTAAAGAAAAACAAACAACAACAAAAACAAACATTTTTTTTACATCAGTAAATTTCTACACAAATAATTTTTAAAATTTGATTTCTTTCTCATTTAATACATGGTAAAAATTATATTTAAGAAAGGGAAAAGAAAGGAATAAAATGAAGAAGGGCCTGTAACCTTAGAGTGAGAGAAGATCCATCAACCCATTTCCAGGTTCCCTCATTGCTCCCATCCATCAAACCAATCCAGCTCCATGTTTCTGACTTTGTTAACTTGGAGAGAAAAGTCTGTTTTTAATGATAAAAAAAAGATACAAATGATATTTTAAAAATTGAATCATTATTATAAAATCATTAAACAGAAAATTAAGCTATTATACATTAGATTACATTAGGGGTATTGTACCCCATTTTGACCTTGAGACTTAGACCACCATAGACCCCCACCTTCAGTCTTATGCACAGGGCTTGTTCATGTGCTACCATGATTAGAGCCTCCGTGCTGTCTTTCTATCCAACTTTGTCCAGCCACTGGTAGGATTTTTTGATATCAGCCACTTCTTCTATCTGCCCGTAGTACATACTGTCCTTCCATGATGTTCTTGCTCATCTTTTTTTCTCAGGTTTCTAATGCCTGAGGTATTCGCCAAGCACAAATTCATTGTGGCCAGCTTCCTGATATACCCATTTTTGTTGTTTCATTCTGGATGATGCTTCTGACAATCACTAATCCTTATCCTCCTTCCTTTAGCTTCACATAAAATGTCAGGGTGCAGGACGTGGGGTGAAACCCTCCATACATGGTAAAGAGCTTTCTTGTCTTGATGTCAGGGACTTCTATCTTCTCCTTTGGCGAGCTGGTTATTCCAGTAGAGTATATGATGACTGGCAGGTTGTACGTGGTGATTCAGCAGATCTTGTTCTTGCCATTCAATTGACACCTTAGGACTTGACACTCTGCTGGTATTTGGTTGTGGCTTTTCTAGCGGCCTCTTCATGGTTGCCATTTGTATAATTCTAAGGTACTTCTAGCTGTCCTCAGTATCTCCAATGTAGCCTTCTGGCAGTGCAGTCTCCTCAGTTCTGACTAACTTCCTTCTCTTTCTCCAAAATCCTACTATTTGGCATCAACTCACCCCACCATGATGGAAGAAGATACATGCTGAGTATGACTCAATAAACACTAAAAACACCAGAAACTTTCCAGTTAAAAGCAAACAAACAAACCCACACACATGGCTTTCCATTCAGCTAAAACAATTTTAAGAATGTCATTCTTAAAGATCATTGGACGCAATTCGATCTGTAGTTACTGCGTTTATTTACTTACACATTATTATGATTATGGTCATATCATTAACTAAGCAGTCTGGTCAACTGTTAGGGAAGTACCTGCTCCTTGTTGCAGTCAATGACAACTAGATCTGCTCCTTTGTCTTTGCAGTCCTGTCTGGCTCTTGTCCATGAACCAGAGTCATTGGAGAGGAAATAACAAGAACTACTAAATATCCTCCATCCTGCTGGACAAGTTTTCTCTCTCTGTCTGGTTAAAATTAGTTCTTTCTTTAACTCAGTGATGCTTGAATTCAGCAGGTCTCTCTCTCTGGTCATGAACGACATCGCATTAATAGAGGCCTGGAGATGCTCAGTCAGGTTGTTTTTGAGAAAAGAGAAATGTGCAGCTTCACTGTGATCTGGAAATAAATACATTTACAAAATGACATATTTATGTTTATTATGTTAAGGACAAAACTAACAACTGAGTTGGTCAATACTGACAGGCTTTGTTACAACATATGTTACCTATGGCATTATTATTGTGCCTCTGTTCTATGAGTGCAGGTTAAAAAAAAATCAAAAAATATGCAAGTGCAAATGTTGCATTTTGAGGAGAAAATTATTTTGAGTGAAGAAACGTTTAATTGGAGCAAACAAAATTCATTGCTGCGTGCAAGAAATGTATTTCAGTGTTTGCTATTATGCATACACACACACAATAACAGCCCCTCTTGCTCAGTTGCTGGCTGTTCTCAGTGTGACGTTCATGCTCACAACATCTCTGCTCGGTGCACGCTCAACTATCTGTACACCATTCTAGGTGTACCAACCAACCAATCACTGACGTGGATGTGAAAATTCTGATAGGCTGTTACGGTCTCCAATCAGCTTGCTAGCTATTGCATTCCGGAAACATGGTCCAGAATGCTGCCAAATGCATTTTCGGTTAGTATGTTTAATTATTTCATTTTAAAATATATAATTTTTTAAGACCACTGTTGGTTTTAATCTAGTTTAAGCTACACTTTTCTTCGCTCAAAAATAATTTACTCCACAAAATGCAACATTTGTGCTTGCAAAGTTTTTTTTTTTACGTGCAGTTAGAATAGAGGCACAAAAATGACACCATAGTTGCCACCTAAGAAAGATGGTGTCAGTTAATATTGGAATAACGGGGTGCCTGCAGCTTGGTCCTTTCAGCGACTGAAATTATTTGATGTGTACATGTGTACATTACATGTACACTGTTTAGAAATACATTTGGCCAAACAATGTTTAATGCAGTGGCACTTTGGAGTCACTGGAATCCATTGACTTCCGTGTCTGTAAATAAAAACAGCTATTCTAACAGTGCCTATAATTTGTTATTTTCTCTCATACAATGACAATGAAGCTAGTGTAGAAGAACAATAAATATCTGTTGTTATTTTTATTTGTTTTGTATTCATGAACAGCCATTTTTTCTTATTATTTTCTAATTATATACAGTGATGTAATGACGTTATAAATAATTCGATGATAACTGATGACTGTGTTCTCATAGATGAGCGAACTAAACGAGCACTGAAGGCTTGGCATAAACTGCCCGTATGAATACGGAATACAGAATATAAAAATGAACTGAATAAAGCTAAATGTGAACAAAACTCACAGTGAAGACCAAGGCCAATGAGCCCAACCAACAGGGAAACACTCAGCAGCCCCAAAGTAAGAATAACAGCTTTGTGAAACTTCCCATCAGAGCTCTTTGGACCTGATAAGAAAAAAAAAGTCAGAGATGTCTTTCACATAATGCAACATATGCAACATATACTCAGTTACTGCGGTACAGTAAGTCTGGACTGGTTGTCCGTCTTAAGGCTCTGAGTTAGAATTACTAGAAACTAATTAAAGGAGACATCCTAACTGCCTACATCTAGATAATGATACCACTGTCTCTGATAACATACTCTGATTAAGCAACTCTGTTAGTCAAGTACAGTCAGTCACTCACCTTGTTGCCCTAAAGTAGCAGACCAAGAAATAAACGCCCTAAGCGACGGTCAGCTTGTGGGCTAGAGCAACCTCTTAGAAGCAATAAAAGCTGTAATAGCCATACACATATTTTAACCTTTACCGTTTAACAACACAATTCAGACTTTAAATGCAGGTAAGATATTCATTTAAATCACGAAAGCCAATTTCTATAAATCACCAAGACTAATCATAATAGATGAAATGGGATAACTGCCACTAAATACCACTATGGTCTCATAGTTCCTCCAAAGTCCATAATTCAACAAAAAATTAGCAGCAAAGAAAAGACTTGTGGCTCCAATTTTTAGATCACAGTTGTTTGGCCATAATTAACCGTCTGGAACACTCTGAAATATTATATTGCTGAGACCGCTCCAGAGACTCCAGTTTCACAACACTTACAACTTGTTTTTAACTATGTACATGGTTACCCCGCTGAGTTCCTATTCATCACATTACTTCAAGTCCTAGATGGATGAGGTTTGGGGGATTTCAGTCCTTTGACAATCTCCATCAAACTGGAAATTCTTACCTGTTTGAATTGTTGAAGAGCTTCTGTTGACTGACTTGCCATGTTGAACATTGACATAGATTTCCTCCATCTCTCCTGAGATAGTCAGCTTTCTTTTAGAGAGTCGGCTCTGCAGTACACGTTACTTGAAGCATAAATGAGGAAGTTTTTAGCTTAGTTCCTTCTTGTCTTTTACAGAAGTTTTATCGGAAGTCATTCTGTATGTGTTGAACCCAGAAGTGTCACTTCTAATAACATTTCTATAACACAGTTTAAGTTTGAAGGTTGAAGTTTCCTGGAATAGTCTGAATGACTAATGTTACATGAAAAAACAGATATACAACAAAATTCAAAACTCAGCAGAAGGTCTAGATCTTGTCCCTTGAAGTTGCTAATTACCCACTGTGTAGATCAGAAAAGTATAATGAAAGTGAGCAGGCAATCTGCATATACATTAATCTCACAAAGATGCACTAAAATCACCAATCAATCACATTCAAATTGGCCTTGTGTCCAATGAACTTCAATTCAATTCAATTCAAACTTTATTTTTATAGCACATTTAAAAGCAAGAGAGTTGACCTAAGTGCTTCACAATCAGTTAGGAACAAGAGAAGAAAATAGAGAAACAAATACAGATAAATGAGAGGACATTGTATTAACATTAAAAAACAGGTCTGAGGTTATTAACTTGAGTTAAAAGCCAACATTATGGGGGGTGGGGATAGTTCAGGTAGAGTGGTCGCCCCTTGATCGGAAGGTCGGGGACTCGAATCCACCGAATCCAAGCTACCCTGAGGTACCCTTGAGCAAGGTACCATCCCTACACACTGCTCCCCAGGCGCTGGATTGGTAGCTGCCCACTGCTTCACTGAGTGAAGGGATTAAATGCAGAGGACTACAACATTTCCAACGTGTGGGACTATAAGAGGTTTAAAATGGAAAAAAGGGGAGTTTTAAGACGCAATTTAAAAGACTGAATAGGATTCAATCGAGACCTCGGTTATATTAAGAGCTCTCAGTGCTCTTTTGGGGTTATAAATGTTGAGGAGTTTGCTTAAATAGCTGGGTGCCATATTATTTAAAACTTTAAAAGTTAAGTAAAAAAAATCTTAAAACTAACATGGTATTTGACAGGGAGCCAGTGTAAATTTGCTGAAACTGGAGTGATACATTCATACATTCTAACATCTATTAAATGATGAGCAGCAGTATTTTGGACTAACTGCAAGACATGAGTGGTGAAGACCAAAATAGAGAGAATTGCAGTAGTCCAGTCTAGAGGTGATGAAGGCATGAATAAGTGTTTCTAGGTGTTTTGGAGGAAGATAAAGCTTCACATAACAGATAAAAACTGGTTTGAACTGTGGACATTTGCCTCTCTAATTAATAAAAGCTATCTAAAAACACTCCCAAGATTTCTTACAGTGTGAGAATGATGACAAGCAAGTGAACTGAGGGTAACAGTTAACTTATCCAAAGTCGAATGACTTCCAAAAACAATAACTTCAGTCTCATTTACATTTAGGATGAGAAAATTTTGTGCTAACCAGTCTTTAACATTACAGTGGAACAGAAACACCCAGTTTGAAGGGGAAGTAAATTTGGGGGGCATCAGCATAACAGTGAAAGGGGATGTTGCATTTCCTAAAAATAAATCCCAAAGGCAGCATGTATAAGGGGAACTGTCACTTTCCTGGGTCTGACCCAGCGTTTTGAGTTTTAGTTTATTTGGAAGATATGTTTGAGTTCTTTAGGGTAGCTAAGTTGTTTATTAGTTTCCCTTTGTGTTTTCTACCGCTGTATTTAAGTTTCCCTTTGCCCTTCATGTGTTTCATGCTGCGTGTCTTATGTTGTCAAGTTTATATTGTCTTGTCTGCGTCACATGTTTCCAGTTATATTTTGAAGGTCTGTGTCCTATTTCAGTGTAGTCAGCTTTGCTTCCTTTGTCTCGTTATGTCAGACTAGTGTCAGCTGTTTCCCCATGTGTTTCCACTTCCCCTGATCACCCTTGTGTGTATTTAGTCTGTGTGTTTCTGTTCATTCCTTGTCAGGTTGTCTGTTGTTCACGCCATGTTCTTTACACCAGGTTTCATGTCCAGGTTTTTTCATATTGCTGTTTAGATTTCCCAGTTTAGGTTTGTGTTAATTTTTCTTCAGTTTGCCTTGCCTTTTGTTTGTACCTTTTACCAGCCTCACTAAATGGCTTGCTTTTTGTTAACATTCAAGTTTTGTTCCCTGTTCCTTGGGGTCTGCGTTTTGGGTCCTTCTCATCAATTCATACAGTCTGCCCTCGCCAGACTGTGACAAGAACAGAGTTGGACCCAAAACAGACCCCTGAGGCACACCACAACAAATTGGGGCAAAGGAAGTGGAGTATTGTCCAATAGTAACAGAAAAGGACCTCTCTGATAGATATTTAAACAATGATAAAACTGTGCCTTTAAGACCACCAATGAACAACCTGGGTTGTTCTGTTGTTTAAACATGGCAAATAATAAAAGCTTCTCGAAAACCGTTAACACACTGGACAAAAAGATGTGTTATCCCCTTGTGCTGCAAATTTTCCAAAGTGGAAAAACCTGGACGTTATGCAAAACATCACAGGAGAAATGTAAGCTATCAGTTTCAGTCACGTCCATCATACAGGTACAGTGAATACTTTATATTTTGCTTCTATGAAGGTCAGGTAATTAAACATCTTAACTGTCTGCAAAGATGTTTTAACACAATGTGAAGATCAAAAGCAGTTAGTTCCCCGTTGATTTAATTTTAAGTTTTGGTAACTTTTAGGTGAAGGAATAGGACCAGTGTGATGTTAATGTAACAGCAGTGTGCAACTTACATGACAGTACAACAATTTTTTTCACTATTACTATTATTTGTAACATTTTGGTTTTAATTACTTTATTGTATCATATACATGTAAATGCAATGCCATTAAAATACAATTGCTGTGATGAAACATATGTACTGTGTTAATAAGACGTTCTACATTCATAGCAAAAGGAAGTTATTTTCTTGACCAAAGAGCTACAAATAAAATCAGTCAAGCAAAATATTTTTCTCAAGGTCTTGTTTTATATTTATTCAAGAAGGAAAAGGCTAATCACAAATGAATGCCATTTTACTAACTGCATTACACCTTTAAATCATTAGAATTTGATGAAAAGGATTCCTTGGCAACTGTTACACAAGAGTGTAATCGTTCTGCTATGTTTTTGTACCAGTCAGTGAAACATGACAGACTGCTGAATTAGTGGAGTTTGTGTGGATACTACTACCAGCACATACTGGGTACTGTGTAATATGGATGTATGTCACTTATCTTCACATGAATGTATCTTTGAGATATTCTCATTGTGTATTCCTTTTGTTGTCTTAGATATTCTTTATTTCTTATTATTGAGCTGAAGAAATGGCAATTTTGTCTTTTCGACATTCTCAGTCATGCCGCTGGGCAGGCAGGCAGCATAGACACCTAAGTTTGTGAATGCGATAACTTGAGAACAAGGCGGCGTAGGATTTTGAAATTGATACCATAGTTGTGTCTACCAAGAGGCTGAGCGGCAGCCCTGGTGGTCACCATTATTTTTTACAAAAAAGCCAACAAGATACTGAATTTGCCTACAGGATAAGAATATGTAACTACTGCTGAATTAATGTTCAGATATCATTTAACTGCTGTAGCTGCTCCTGCTGGTAACACTTTAAACTTTTAACTGACTTGTTTGATATGTAAAATCTGAATATTATATTAACACAAATACCAAAGACTTTAAGTGAATGTTGTGGTGTATATCTTTGAAATGTTGTGAAGCAAAAGCACAAAGGTGACCAATTTGGAAATGCTCAAGTAAAGTGCAAGTACCTTTATATGACAGTACTTAATTACATTCCATATGACATACAGTGGGGCAAAAAAGTATTTAGTCAGCCACCGATTGTGCAAGTTCCCCCACCTAAAATGATGACAGAGGTCAGTAATTTGCACCAGAGGTACACTTCAACTGTGAGAGACAGAATGTGAAAAAAAAATCCATGAATCCACATGGTAGGATTTGTAAAGAATTTATTCGTAAATCAGGGTGGAAAATAAGTATTTGGTCAATAACAAAAATACAACTCAATACTTTGTAACATAACCTTTGTTGGCAATAACAGAGGTCAAACGTTTACTATAGGTCTTTACCAGGTTTGCACACACAGTAGCTGGTATTTAGGCCCATTCCTCCATGCAGATCTTCTCGAGAGCAGTGATGTTTTGGGGCTGTCGCCGAGCAACACGGACTTTCAACTCCCGCCACAGATTTTCTATGGGGTTGAGGTCTGGAGACTGGCTAGGCCACTCCAGGACTTTCAAATGCTTCTTACGGAGCCACTCCTTTGTTGCCCGGGCGGTGTGTTTTGGATCATTGTCATGTTGGAAGACCCAGCCTCGTTTCATCTTCAAAGTTCTCACTGATGGAAGGAGGTTTTGGCTCAAAATCTCACGATACATGGCCCCATTCATTCTGTCCTTAACACGGATCAGTCGTCCTGTCCCCTTGGCAGAAAAACAGCCCCATAGCATGATGTTTCCACCCCCATGCTTCACAGTAGGTATGGTGTTCTTGGGATGCAACTCAGTATTCTTCTTCCTCCAAACACGACGAGTTGAGTTTATACCAAAAAGTTCTACTTTGGTTTCATCTGACCACATGACATTCTCCCAATCCTCTGCTGTATCATCCATGTGCTCTCTGGCAAACTTCAGACGGGCCTGGACATGCACTGGCTTCAGCAGCGGAACACGTCTGGCACTGCGGGATTTGATTCCCTGCCGTTGTAGTGTGTTACTGATGGTGACCTTTGTTACTTTGGTCCCAGCTCTCTGCAGGTCATTCACCAGGTCCCCCCGTGTGGTTCTGGGATCTTTGCTCACCGTTCTCATGATCATTTTGACCCCACGGGATGAGATCTTGCGTGGAGCCCCAGATCGAGGGAGATTATCAGTGGTCTTGTATGTCTTCCATTTTCTGATGATTGCTCCCACAGTTGATTTTTTTCACACCAAGCTGCTTGCCTATTGTAGATTCACTCTTCCCAGTCTGGTGCAGGTCTACAATACTTTTCCTGGTGTCCTTCAAAAGCTCTTTGGTCTTGGCCATGGCGGAGTTTGGAGTCTGACTGTTTGAGGCTGTGGACAGGTGTCTTTTATACAGATGATGAGTTCAAACAGGTGCCATTCATACAGGTAACGAGTGGGGGACAGAAAAGCTTCTTACAGAAGACGTTACAGGTCTGTGAGAGCCAGAGATTTTCCTTGTTTGAGGTGACCAAATACTTATTTTCCACCCTAATTTACGAATAAATTCTTTACAAATCCTACCATGTGAATTCATGGATTTTTTTTTCACATTCTGTCTCTCACAGTTGAAGTGTACCTCTGGTGCAAATTACTGACCTCTGTCATAATTTTAAGTGGGGGAACTTGCACAATCGGTGGCTGACTACATACTTTTTTGCCCACTGTACATTTCAAATTAAAAATGCAGCCTACCTAGCCTCTAAACCACAACATACCAATAAGATATCACTACAGCACAGAGAGGCAAAGACTGAAAGACTGAAAGTAAATACATTGAACAGCTGTCACTGAAAAAAACAGCATCAAAAGTGGGAGTGATTATATGAAATATAATTAAAGTGTAGTGTTCAACACCATGTAACAGCATGTAACATGAAACAACAAACTGTTGCTAGGGTTACCAACCACTGGATACAAATAAAGAGTTTTGTTCCCAAATTGCAAAGATATGACATCATGGATAGTGTCACATCATAATCATATGACTGATTATCTGTTCATCCCTTATAAATGTATTATCCTTATGTTCTGCTCTGAGGATTTCACCGTGTCTTTAAATACTTATTTCTGCCTGTTTCTTCTTATTTCACTTTCACGTTGTCATTTTGTATCTCTTTAGTATTTTATTCTTCCCCTGTGCTAATCCTCTGCTCTTCCCCAGCTTACAGGTATCCACTGTGGTTCATCCTGTGCCTGCTGAATGATGGAACAGAGCTCTATGCAAGCGTCCTGTAGGTCATCGTTCACCAGGACACTGTCAAAAAACTGCTTGTACTTTGCTTCAATCGGCTTTGATGTCTCTTCAAGCTCTGCAAAGTCTTCCTCCTAAAACGACATTATTATTATTGTCAGTTTTAAATAACATTCATGCTTTTGCTTTTCTTTTTCATAAGCAGCTGCTCTCTCTCTCTCTCTCACTCACTCACACTCACACACATATTTTTTTTTTTATGCTCTTACTGAGAAAACTCTGTTGATGGCATAATTGGTGATGATTCGAGCATCTCTGCGAGTTTCCCTGAGTCTGTCTGGGCTGGGTGGTTTGATGAAAATTACATAGGGTTTAAATTTCTTTGTTCGCAACAGCTGGATGCTCTGGAAATAAAATACTATATTAACACCAAAGCTTTTTCAATCATATGCAAACAAAAAGCTTCACAGAAAACTTAGAGACTGTTCAGAATACATGAAATAAGTGAATCTGTGTTACATGAGACTCACATGGGGCTCGGCGTCAATGATACACATCCGCCCTCGTTTTAGCACCTCATCAATGGCATCAGTGCTAATTCCATACAGCTGACCTTTACTCTCCCCATATTCCAAAAATCTGAACACATGTACACACACACATTCATACATCCACACGTGCAAAAACAGCATACAATTATAGTTAAATAAATAATAAACTTATATAATTCCCTAAAATTTGAACAAAAAGCCCCAAAAATCATGACAATCAACACCAAGAACATTAGCAAAATTTATAGTAAAGGAATAAAATCTTGCCTGTGGTTGCAGACCATGTACTCAAACAGTTCTTTGGTAACAAAGTGGTACTCTCTACCGTTCTGCTCCCCTGCTCTGATTGAGCGAGTGGTGTCTAGAAGAACAGACCAATCAGAACGTTTATATTAATAATTAGTCACAGTGAAAACAGCAGTATAAATATTAGGGGTGCAACGATACTCGTATCGATATTGAACCGTTCGATACAGTGCTTTCAGTTCGGTACGCATATGTATCGAACAATACAAAATTATTTAATTTATTTTATCAACTTTTCTTCTGACGATGCTGTCTGTGTTGAGAGCTCAGTGGATCTGCGTTAGACTACTCCGCCTAGGTTGCACTGTCGAGCGCAGATCCACTGAGCGCTGCACAAGCTAGCAAGACAGAAGTTAAGCTCGTTGCAACATGGCAAATTTAACCTCCCCCACCCTCATTCATATCTGGCGTTTGGAACTATTTTGGTCTTCATGTGACGTATGACCCTGAAGGTAAGCGTGTCATGGACAAAAGTAAAACAGTATGTCGGATGTGCCACGCAATGCTCAATTACATGGGTGGGAACCACTGCGTTAGTGCAGTTTGCTTGTTAACGTGTTGACGCCGTCCAGCCCCACGCACGGGGCGATCCGCGGTAGCTCGTTAACGGAGATTTGGCGTGTTGTGACGTTAACGTCATTTCAGATTAACGCTGACAGCACTAGTGGGAACACAATGAATATGACTGCACATTTACACCGACATCATCCTAGTGCAAAGACAAGTGGAAGCAGACAAAAACAACAAGCACGCATGCTACAAACTTTACCCGAGTCATTTAGACAGAAGTTAGCACGTGATTCTCCTTATGGGGGACCTGATATGTTTAATATGCTGCTGAGAATATAGCCCAAAAGAAGCATATAGTATAGCTTTTATTTTGGAAAGAGCCATTCCTCTGTAATAAACTCTCTTTTCCAAAGATGAGTGATTTCTCGATCAGATAGATTTATTATTTTATCCCTTTGTTGTTCCAGTAACATTAAATTTAAAAACTGTACATTTGAGTTAAAATATATATTTATAATTTTAATAAATGACAAATTAAAAAAGCATGAACATTTTTTTGTATCGAAAAAATACCGAACCGTGAATTTTGTGTATCGTTGCACCCCTAATAATTATGTAAAGCAGGTAAAATCACTTTCATGACTTTACTACCTCCTCCGCTATTGAGCTAAATATTTTTTTTTCAAGAGTGTCAAAGCCAGTAAGTCATGCTTCTTATCTGGAAGTCACAAGACACTTCTCATAAGTAATTATACCAAACTGGGCTCAACTGCAAACCAACAGGTGACTTCAAATCTCACAACCATCCTCACACACAGTCCATGATAATATTCCAGATGTTTAAAAACAAACAAAACAAAAACATATATTTCTTTTTTTTTTAAATGTAGAGCCCTCTTTTTATTGTCATTTAAAATGAGAAGAACAGGTTCATTTGATTTCATTAGGAAAACCTCACACGTGTTAAGTAAAAGGCACATACGAGGCACTGGTCCCTGGAATGTCGAAGGATTCAGTTTGATGAGTCTCTTCCTAAGTTCATTTACTCCAACTCCTGAAGCACCTGTGCAGAAGAACAAATAATGAACTGGTAGGAATCTCCTTCAGACTTCCAAAGATATACATACAGAGACGGACAAGAATGCTGGAGAATAAACTTTTTCAAACAAGGAGAAAACAGCAGGTGCTGTTACAGTAGAAGTGAAACGATTTCAAACATTCTCCTGATACAAGGATGAGACCAGTGTGTTGAACAGTACATAAAGTAAAGCATTATTTATTGTATGTATTATAATTAGATAAGTACTTAATTCAAAGGACTACTGTAGTTATGCCAGCAATTCAGTATTCAAGAAACCAGTGAAAAATCTAAGCATACAGAGAGGCTTCTATTACAGAGGGTCTCAAGATCAATTGATAATCTCAGATTTTGTTAATCTTTATTCTGTTCAGCAATTTTGTGCTGCAGTTGTCTTTTGACATGAGGTGGGAGGTCTATTTGAAACACTTTACCGACATTCCATAATTTCAGGGTCAGCTGGGAGGCAGTGATTGATTTCTCATGGAAGCATTCATGTGTTATTAATGCAGTTATTCATCTCACCAACGAGGATGATGAGGCGGTGGTTCTCCTGAGGAGGGCGCTGGTACAAAACCACTTCCTCATAGGGGGTGGACAAAGCATTGGTGTTGGGGGAGCAGGTGGTGCACGACTGTCGTCGCTTCCTGTAGGAAGTCCTCTTCCAGACACGGAAACTTCGACGGAAACCAGCTGGTGAGGTTAAAGAGCACTTTTAGTTTCACTTAATAAACTTGACACACTTCTCACACACACTTCTCCTTATAAGGTGAACGTTACCAAAGTTTAGAGACAGCAGTAAAATGATTTATTATTGATAATATATATTTTCTATAGATATGATTTCATTAGATTGTAGGAATTTATTATTAAATAATAACTTGTCTTATTAAATCCATCCTTCAGTATAGATTTTATTATCAGTGCTACCCACTTAATGACTACTTAAATACTACCTAATTATCTGAATAGCATATATGTCTTACCCAGGTAGATTCCATCAGTAACATCAGATTCAGCTTCATCTGAAGGAAAGAAACATTCAAACTCCTAGATTTATCACCAGGCAGTACATTTCTTCTTTTTATTAAGTACAGAAACAAGTAAGCATTTATTTTTATATGTATTTACTACATTTTATTTTTTGTTTGTAAGCCTGACCTTAATTTTCATGGTCATATTAAAAATGCACCTAAATTACCGCCATTTAAAATTTTCATTAAAATAATTTTATCGAATTATGACTCGGAATAAACAAGTACATATACAAAAAGAGTTTACGCTGTGGGACTGTTTTGATCATGCGGACTGGGAAATGTTTCACGTGGCTGCTAATGATATTGATGAGTACACAGATTCAGTCTGCGGATTCATCAGAAAATGCGTGGAAGATGTCGTCCCATCCAGAACAGTTAAATCCTTCCCAAATCAAAAACCCTGGAGATGTTCGTGCGAACACTATGTCTGAGGAGGATGTGCAGAAGTGCTTCAGGAGGGTGAACGCACGCAAAGCTACTGGTCCGGACGGGATTCCTGGCCGCGTCCTCAATAAGTTCCAGTAGTACAAGTTCAACAAGGTCCGCGTCAGGTGTTGAGGAACCAGGGCACCCTGACGAGAAGTGGGCTACTGGAACAAGAAGGCATCGGTGGGCAAGAGACAAAAACAAGGCGTTGTTGGAATGCTACTACGCAAGTAACCCTGGCGGAAGGGGTTAGATGAATAGGATGAGGGACCTATGGATTCTTCGATACCCAACATCCACAATGACGGCGAAACAACTAGTAGCTCAGTGTTCCAACATTCGAAAGAAGGGACTGCTCTCACAGCTAGAGATTGATGAGGTACAACATAAATGCTACGGCAAGGGGGAACCAGGACGCCAGGTCAGGGGGCCACTCGAGATTGGGTACCATGCCCCAAGTGCGATAGGAGAAGGATCGTTGAGTGCGAGATGAACTGACCTGAAAGATAGGATCATGGCCAAGCTTGAAACCTGGACCCCCCATAGCCGGTTACCAAGATTACGTGAAGTACCCTCAGAAGGTCTGCTAGATGATGTTAATGCAGCACTACGGACGATACCTACAGCCATGATTACCGACACTAACAAGCTGATCTACAATACGGCAGCAGTGATCAGTGAGATGTTTGGCTACAAGTTGAATAGTCACAAGGGGCAGTACCCTCCATGGAGAAGGAGACTAGAGGCTAAGATCAAAGTAGCACGGAGGGAGGTTAGCCAACTATCGGAGATGCAGAAAGGCGCAATGAGGAAGGTGCCTAAGAAGTACAGGAAACTGTCCATACCGGAGGCCTTCGAAACTGCCAAGCAAAGACTCACAGCCTTGGCCAGCCACTTGAGGAGGTACACCAGAGAGATAGAAGGCAGGAGAATAAACCAGCTGTTCTCCACTAGAGATGGCACGATACCACTTTTTTATGTCCGATACCGATATCATAAATTTTGATATCTGCCGATACCGATATGAATCTGATATAGTGTTTTTTAATCAATAAAACTGTTTTTTTAATATCTTGCTGCATTTTGTATAAGTTCATACTCAAGTTTAAATAAACAACAACACTAAAGCTATTCTGTTATACCTGTATGTAAAAAATACAACAAAATATTTCATAGTTCAGCAATACTGATCAATCTAATAAACTTAAACCTACTCCATCCTCCCTATTCTGGTATTTTAAAGAGTACTTAGCAGAAATATTAAGCAACCTAACTAATAGGGTTGCAAACTCCCAGCAAAAAAAATAGGGAACCACCCCCCACCCTCCACCTCATGATGCTTAATCGACGTAATCAACTTTAATTTGATGCAGTGTGGAAAAAAAATGCACAGAAATCAATTATTTTTCAAGAATAATTAAATAGATTCAACATCTTTCTTCTACAGAATTGCAGACTGCACAAATGGTATCTTCCCAAAGGAAAAGGTAGTATAGCTTACTAGGGTATAATAGACTTAATAGTTACTATATACAGTAATGGACTTCTATATATTTTACACAAGATTACAAATTTGGGTGTAAGATTCAGATAATTATTCATTAAAAGGCAGTCGCTCCATATATCAGTTGTTAAGCTTAACACTGGAATGCTTTACAAACATTCAGAGACGAACTTACACACTTGCTTTACTTCTCTCTGGGATCACTTCATCGGAGATGAAATTCTGGTTTTGTAGCGAGGCTACAAATACACATAGCCGCTCTATCACGTGAACACACTGCTCCGACATGCTACGGTTATGAGTCGAGTTACGCCGTGTTGCAAGTTTTGTGAGGTGCTTTTCTGATATTTAATGGATCGGATTACATTTTTTATTTCTCTCCGATATCCGATCCAGTAATTTAGGTCAGTATCGGACTGATACCGATACTATCGGATCGGTCCATCTCTCTTCTCCACAGAACCAGCAAAGGTGTACTCTCAGTGGCAAGGGAACAATAAGAGAACAGCACCACCAAGTCTGGAGACGGAGCAATACTGGAAGAGCATATAGAAGAAGGACGCAACCCATAACGGCAATGCTCAGTGGCTAGTGGATCTGAAGGCAGACCACAGCGACCTCCCCGAACAGGGTCCAGTAACCATCACAGTGGCAGATATCCAAGAAAGGGTCTCCAGTATTAAGAGTTGGACAGCACCAGGCCCTGACATGGTTCACGCCTACTGGCTGAAGAAGCTGACTGCACTCCACAAGCGCCTGGCAGCACAAATGAACCAGCTGCTAGTTGACGAGAGACACCCGGAATGGCTAACTGAAGGCTGGACGGTCCTGATCCTCAAGGACCCCCAGAAGGCACCGGTCCCCTCCAACTACCGACCAATAACCTGCCTCAGCACCATGTGGAAGCTCCTGTCAGGCATCATAGTGGCTAAGATGAACAGGCACATGGGTCAACACATAAGCGGGGCACAGAAAGGGATGGACAAGAATACCAGAGGCACAAAACAACAGCTACTGGCAGACCAAGCAGTCAGCTGAGACTGCAGGACCAGACTGACCAACCTGTCCTGCCTGGATTGATTACAAGAAGGCCTATGACTCAATGCCCCACACCTGGATCCTGGAATGCCTAGAACTATATAAGATTAACCGGACCCTGAGAGCCTTCATCAGGAACTCAATGGGGATGTGGCGGACAACACTGGAGGCCAACCTCAAGCCCATAGCACAAGTCACCATCAAGTGCGGGATCTACCAAAGAGATGCTCTGTCCCCACTGTTGTTCTGCATAGGCCTGAACCCCCTCAGTGAGATAAATGACAAGACTGGCTATGGATACCGACTACGGAATGGAGCAGTTGTCAGCCACCTCCTGTACATGGATGACATCAAGCTGTATTCCAAGAGTGAACGAGACATTGATTCACTGATCCACACCACCAGGATATACAGCAATGACATCGGAATGTCGTTCGGCTGGAGAAGTGTAGTCGGATGGTAACAAAGAGAGGGAAGGTAGTCAGAATGGAGGGGATCAAACTACCAGAAGGCAACATTGCCGACATAGAGGACAGTTACAAGTACCTGGGGATCCCACAGGTGAATGGGAACCATGAAGAGGCCGCTAGGAAAGCTGCAACCACCAAGTACATGCAGAGGGTCAGGCAAGTCCTGAGGAATCAGCTGAATGGTAATAACAAGATCCGGGCTATCAACACCTACGCCCTGCCCGTGATCAGGTACCCTGCTGGCATAATAAGTTGGCCAAAGGTGGAGATAGAAGCCACTAACATCAAGACAAGAAAGCTCCTTACCATGCATGGAGGGTTTCACCCCAAGTCCAGCACCCTGAGGCTGTACGCTAAGCGGAAGGAAGGGGGCCGGGGACTGGTGAGTGTCAGCACCACAGTCCAGGATGAGACAAGGAACATCCACGAATACATCACGAAGATGGCCCCAACTGACCGAGTGCTCAATGAATACCTCAGGCAGCAGAAACCCAAGAAAGTGGAGGAAGGCGAGGAACCATCATGGAATGACAGGCCCCTGCACGGTATGTACCACCGGCAGGTAGAGAAGGTGGCTGATATCCAGAAATCCTACCAGTGGCTGGACAAAGCTGGACTGAAAGACAGCACAGAGGCACTAATCATGGCAGCACAGGAACAAGCACTAAGCGCAAGATCCATTGAGGCTGGGGTCTATCACACCAGGCAAGACCCCAGGTGCGGGCTGTGTAAAGATGCTCCAGAGACAATCCAGCACATAACAGCAGGGTGTAAGATGCTAGCAGGCAAGGCATACATGGAACGCCATAACCAAGTGGCCGGCATAGTGTACAGGAACATCTGTGCCGAGTATAACCTGGAAGTCCCGAGGTCAAAATGGGAGATGCCCCCAAGGGTGGTGGAGAATGACCAAGCTAAGATCCTGTGGGACTTCCAGATACAGACATAGTGGTGGTAGACAAACATGAGAAGACGGCCATAGTGATCGATGTAGCGGTTCCGAATGACAGCAACATCAGGAAGAAGGAACATGAGAAGCTCGAGAAATACCAAGGGCTCAGAGAAGAGCTCAAGAAGATGTGGAGGGTGAAGGTGACGGTGGTCCCCGTGGTAATCGGAGCACTAGGTGCGGTGACTCCCAAGCTAGGCGAGTGGCTCCAGCAGATCCCGGGAACAACATCGGAGATCTCTGTCCAGAAGAGCGCAGTCCTGGGAACAGCTAAGATACTGCGCAGGACCCTCAAGCTCCCAGGCCTCTGGTAGAGGACCCGAGCTTGAAGGATTGACTGCCCACAGGGGCGAGTGGGGATTTTTTTTTTTATATTATACATATATTTTTTTGTTTGTTTGTTTTAAATAATTTATCTTTTCAACTTCATGTGTAAAGAATTTGTTGTTTGGTTGTCTGTCACTCTAAAGTATTGATGAGAAACTCAATAGACATAAATATGAGAAAAACCCCCACTAAGAAATAGAAAGGAACAGCAATGAGTGTCATGCAATCAAAAGGTTGCACTTTTTACACATTCATCACTGGACAGACTTACCTACCAAAATTTATTTCCTCCAGATCTGAAAAAAAATAAATAAATAGTGACATTCAATGGGTTGTTGAATAATGCATAGCTTTCGTATATAAAAACTAAATATTTAAAATATATATGAATATGTATTTATTATGTTCACCTGTTATTGCATGTTTCTCATCAGAATTTGCAGGATTTTCCTCTGGAACAAAATAACAGAAAAGTTAGTTAAAGCTTATTTTCACATACATGTAGCTGGGTTTAAATACACCAACAAAGACAACATACTGTATGGCTGAAAGGCACAAAAAGCTATGTTTGGTTGAAAGTGTTAATGTGACAGACTGTAACACAACATAACACACTTCAGTTACTGTGAAAGGAGCAGCCTGGCATGATCTTAGCTCTTGTTTCTACCTTTGAGATCTCTCAGAAGATGAAATAAGCAGCTGCAGAAGCAGCTTAATTAACACTGTAGTTCAATTGGTGATTCATGTGTGCGAATGGTTGTATTTCTCTCTTTGGTAGATTGGTGACCTGTGGATAGATTTCTCATAGAATTCTCATCCTATGAAAGCTGTGATTGACTCTGGATAAGTATGCATGCATGGATAGCTGGTTTTGACTACAAGATATTCCCTAACATGACGAACAAGTGATGTTTGGGAGATATTGTATACCAGTAGTATAGATTATTGTTTCTGTTAATAGTCTCAGAGACCTCAATTATTATAGTTTTATTCAATGATTTAAAAAAAAGTCTTCTGTGGTTTCTTGTTTTTGTTATTGGTGGTTTGTTATTAGCCTAAGCGACACCTCTCTGTGTTAGGAATTGACTGACAGGTTAGTGCAGATAACAGTAATTAGTGCTGAATAATAATAATAAAAAAAGGTGTCATCAAAACAAGCTAACAAACAAGCACACTCAGAAAAATAAAATGAACTAAACTACGACATTAAATGACTATTATGGATGATGTTTCACATGTCACACCCACCGTTAGCAGTCAGGGTCACTAAGGGCAGCAGGGTTAACAGAAAAAATAAACAGCCGTTAAAAGCATTGCTCATTTTATGTCACAGCAGGTAGAGATTTACACACAGGTGAGAAAAAAAAACTTTTATGCACACACCGACTTAAAATAACAAATTATTTTTGTAGTGACTGACTTATCTTTCAAATATTTTAAAGACTAAAAAATACATTAAAAGTGCTTCATGTAATCACACTGGTTTGTAAAACTTTAGGCATTACTGAGAAATATCCAAGTTACAAACAACTCTGCAATAAATGTACATATAATATATAAACCATTAAATAAGCACATGTTTAATAATAACAACCATGATTCCTCACGTGGTCTGATGCAGGTATGAACCTGTAAAGGCTGACACCACCATTGTTCCCTCTGTTTACTGTAGAAAGAGAAATAAATTGTTAAATGCAACCAATGTATTAGAGTCTTAAGCTAAAATCATGGAGCCAAACTGCAAAGATATATTCTTTCTGACATTATTATAAGCTAACTTTACCTAACAGTGTTAAGGCTTTGCCATCAGTTAAATGTGCAGAATAAAAGTGATGTAGCCCTTTAAAGTTACTTAGAATTATGTTATAAATGTTTTCTTACTCTCATAATGTCAGATCTATAAACTAACCGCTTCCTCTGGCTGCGGCCTGTAAGTTCGTCACATCTTCACAGTATGTGAGTGCGTCTCACCTCTTCAGCATGCTGGCCGAGGGAATCAGACCAGCGCAGGATGTAGCACATGGCAGTTTCCTGGCTTGCCACCACTGTCCATCTGACTGGTCAACCACCTGAAGAAGGTCTCCTCTGCTGAATGCCATTCCTGCATCTGGACATGGGATGGAAAAATCCTGCAGAGGGCAGTAGTCTACCATTGCCCTCATACATACCTGGAAGACAGACAGATAAACTTTGTTTTATTGCAGATTAAAAAATAAATTAATCAAAAAGTGAAACATTCACAGATGTACTGAGGGAAATCATGTTTTTAAACCTGGAACACCAGCCTGGAAAATAACAATCAGTGAATCATGTCAGTAATTGTACAGGGATTTTCCTGCTCATAAGTAAGTTTAATGTCAACAAAATGTGCTTTTAATAAAGTGATACTGGAGGTAAAGTGATAAAGTGTGTGTTTCTTACTGGTGTCTGGCTGAGGATGGCCTGAGATGGATTTGGAATGATTTTAAACAGGATAGTGCCTTGGGAATTGGCCTGACAGGGAAAGTCATACACAAGAAGTATACATGGTGAGAATTATTTTTAATAATCAAATGTACACGCTTTCACCAAGCATGTTGTCATACTATCATTTATACATATTATTAATACTATAAAGCTTGTGTTTAACATTTTCGTTTTCTTTTTTTTTCTTTTCTTTCTTTTTTTTTTTTTACTTTAAATGGCTTTTGAATGAGGTGGTAAAAACTGCCTTTAATATTTCTAAAATGTATACAATAGCATTGATAATAGTATTTTCTTTTAAATAATGTTTTTCTTATTTTTAGCAGATGCTGATAGCATACCAGTATATGGATGACCTGTTCTGGTTCCAGGCCCACCACTGGGTTTCCATTTACCTCCACTAATAGGTCTCCAGGATGTAGAAGTCCTGATACAGGCAAAAACCCATATTTATTAAGACATATTATTGCTAGGCGTGATGTTTTCATCTCTCACACACAGACATAAGCAAAAATGCACATGCAACACACACACACACACACACACACACACACACACACACACACACACACACACACACACATTTTCATATCTTAGTGAGGACATCTCATTGACATACTGCTTTCTTTAACCCTCAGCCTAAACCTAACCATAACCCAATTGTAACCCTGACACTAAAACCACATTCACCTTCAAACTCGGACGGACATTTTGTTATAAGCGACTGTATAAGTATAGTGGCATGTCAATTTTCTGTCCTCACAAAGCTGTCTAAACATGTAACACACACACACACACACACACACACACACACACACACACACACACACACACACACACTTAAAATACTTGTATACCACTGCGGTCAGCCAATCCTCCATGAATCACCCGGGCAATAGAGATATCTCCCGTCGCCTCATCCTTTCTTATAGTTGCACCCTAACAGATAGAGAGTTGTTCAAAATTTAACAACAAAGTAAAAAGCAAGCAAAAATAGTGACAAGAGACCTTAAGGCAAAGGCAAAATGTTTTCTAAGATTAGCAAATGGAAAATTTTGACTAAATTAATTTTTAAAAGTACACGATTTTAAAAGTAAATAATAAATACTTTGTTTAAACACATTTTCTCTTCATGAGATCCTCATTAAAAAATCAGCAAATTAAGTAAAAGCTCTTCTTGTACGCCAGTTATTATTATTATTTTTTTTTATAAGGCCTTCCATTTTTGTGCCATTTTGTGAGGAATATCAATATACACACTAACATAATACACCCAGCAGCTGAACATACATTCAACTCAAAGCCACACAGTTTAGTGCTGGTGGTAGATCAAAGTTAAATAGATAACTAAAGGGTTTTTTTCTTTATATTTTAATGCTTGGGTATTTGATATTAACTCATTTTGCATTACATCAAAATATCATGGGGACTCTAAAGGTAAACACTATCAACACAATACCATGTCCACTACAGGCCATTGCTAGAAGCAAACTGGTAGCAAGGGCTCATGAAAATTAAGGATAACTTTAGTAGTCCTGCAAATTTGCTACCATAGTTTTGGGAAATGAAAATGCTAAATTATTTAAAAAAATGCCAATTACATAAGCTCCAACCAGGCGCTAAAACAGTGCTCATGAAAATTAATTTTGATGTTTCTATATGTGGAATAATGTAAAACTTCTTAGGTGTTTCCACAGGGATTTATTGCTGTATTTGATGTGCAATAGATACCACGTAAATATACAAACAATAAGTCAAGATGAATGCAGTTCGACATGTACAAAATAATCCATAACAAATATTATTAAAAATAAATTTAACCCTAAACACTTTCCTCCTTTTTTGCTCAATGTATATATTCAGACCATCATAGTCAAGAACCCAAAATAATAAATCAGAGCTGATGAAAAAAATGAAAGCTGTCATACTTTTTAAGAATAGTTGGACTAGATGACGAAAATAAGACAGAAAGAAATTGCTTTGTACCTTTATATTGTTTGCTTTTGTTCCTTTGAGTGATTGTTTGAAAAATCGAAAAAGTCTTCAAATTAAAAAAAAAAAGTCCATATGTTGTTGTAGCTGATATTTCTTTTTAGACTAAAACATTAGGTATTTTTGTCACTGTCACAGCTTTTCCAGTACAAATGCTGGAAAGAGATGAAAAGCTTTGTTTTTAGTCTAGTTACTCTTTCTTCTTCTTCTTCTTTGTTTTTAAGCAGCCTGTACTCTTACAGTCTTGTTGGTCCTCCAGAGGAGCTCTTGAAATGGTTCCAGTGTTGAACCTCACTTGTCCATTATTACCACCCCTACCTGCCCTCTGAGGAGCTGCCACCATCCTTTTGGATCCACCATTAATTTGTGTTGGACTCCTAGATGTTGTAAAGTCATCTGCACAAGAACTTGTGGATGAAGAAGAGGAGAAAGTAGTGGAAGAAGATGGTGAGAGTGGGCCTGGGTATGGTATTGGAGATTTGCGGACAAGTTTTGGAGATAATGAGGAGACCCTTGGAGGAGGTGAGGGTGGATATTGTTGTGTCTTTGTCTGTGAAGGAGATGACTCGAGGTGTTTTTTGGTTACGATTAGCCCCTGAAGCTTGTCCACCACCTCGGCAAGCAGGTTAAGTGCCTGGGCGTTCTCTTCCACGCTGTCTGTGATCATCTCTGATGCTGCCACCATCCTCTCACCAAGTTGGCGTACATCCTGACTATTGTGTTCAATACTGCTGGCCACCATCTGAACAGTGGACCTAAGCTCTTCCACACTGCACTGTTTCTTGAGTTCAGCAGGCTGATTATGGTGTCTTGATTGCTGCTGCTGCGCATTTTGTTTACGTTTTGATATGTTCTGGCATTCATTGTGACGAGGAGCTGTAGCGTAGTGGAACATTAATGGATGATTTAAAGACTCTTCCTGATGTGTGTTATGAGGTCTGGTTTGAGTGGTTTGACAACCATCTCTTCTGGAGATAGTGCTCACCCCTTGTTCCTGAGTACTCCTTCTAGCTGCAGGACTAGAAGGAGCAGTGCGAGATCTAAGAGGGTTCATGCCACGACAAGAGGAGGTCCTTCCAGGTGTGGGGATATTTTTTGACTGTCCTCCTGTAGAATTTTTTTTGTACAACACAGGAGAGTTGGGAAGGCTAAAACTGTAAGCTGGGATTGGAGGAGGTGGGTATGCGTAGTCATCACTGCTCTCTCTGGTTGAAGCACCATCTTTCCCATTGGGTTTGAGTTCCTCTGAAAATGAACCACCAAATAAATTTGCAGTTCAAGAGAACAGAAAGACATTAGCAAACTATGTCTGAAAAGAAATGTAATGGCAGGAAAGCCCAAAAGACTCATAGACTGCCAGATGATGGCAGGTTCATGAAGAAATGAACACTTAGTTGCACTGAGGAATGACACCAAGATAGATGAAGTGGTTGTTGCCTTTCATTGCCATTGCTAGACATATGAAAATATTTGCCCAGAAAGTACCAAATACTAGAATGATTAGATACAAGAAAGAATGAATCCTCGATTATGATTAGTGAAGGTACTGATGGATGGCCTGCGTTTCTATGATATGTTGCCATTGTTTTTTATATTTGATGGCTTAAATACAGACAAAGAATGATCAAATGAAAATGGTCAGATGATTGGTGATTGTATGGACTGTCATCATCTGTTCTTCCTCCTCTTACCAGTGCAGGTAGCAGGGTTCAAAACAGAGGGAGCTGACTGATTGAGTCCTTTGTTCCCAAGTTTTACAGTTGGTGAACACAAATAGCAACTTCCTGTGGATTCATAGCGAGGGAGAAAGGGGTGGGACCTGCCGTCTTTATGAACAAGGGTAAGCTTTGCTTCACTTTCGGGCACTCTGAGCTCCTCCCCTGACTGAGCTCTTCTTGCAGGGATGAGACGTTCCAATGTAAAGCGGTGCAGGCTGCTCCAGCGGCTGTGAATTTCTCCTACACTCCTTCTACACTCTTCTCCACTCTTAATGAATGAAAGATGAGAAACTTTGAGTTTTTAGGGTTTATTAGAACATTTTAAAGTTAACATAATGTAATTTATATTTAAGCAATTTAAGACTTAACTACTTTATGACTAATCTGAGGGCACCTTGCAAGGCTACCTTCAGATTTGTCATCGAATCTATGAAGTCAACAAGCCATCTTGTTGACTTCATAGATTCTGTTTAACAAAAGTGATCATTTCTGCATCCCTATCTTACAGGAATATATTACTAATTTGTTTGGTTTGTTTGAAAATGTAATCACTCTCTGGATTGTGCTTATAAGCAATGTTTTTTGTCATTTTTCTTTCAGAGAGTTTTGGACGACATAGATATTGAGACTAATAACGCCATGTAAATAGAAAGCTAAGCTACCTTAGCTTATCTAAAACAAAAAACAAGGACAAAAAATGACAAAAACACATTTATGTATATTTATAGGTTTCTATAGCTGACACGAACGAAACTGTATTTCTGAGCAAAAGTTTACATTTATGAGGAAAATGCTTATGTCTTACCAGAGGCTGGTTGTTCTTTACAAGACACACAATCCTCATTGCCTCCTCATCCTCTGGTATTTCATCAGGCAGAGGGGGTAAGACAGGCTCATAGTCTGACTGTGCAACACTGTCATGAGATGACAAGAGAGCCTGATATACAGAGAGATAGATAATCAGTAATGGGTAACCAGAAACTTCAAATATAAGTTATAAGTTAACCTCTGGGTGGTCTTGGGTCGATTTGTGCCATTTTTCATTGTTCGTATACAAGCCATTTGCACTGTGTTGAACGGAATATAGCCAACTTTTCCAAAAAAAAAGTCTGGTTACATATATTTCAAAATTCCAGTCTGACTCCCTTAAATTAGCTTCAGTGGCTGAGCTACAGATAAACTTACACTATTGGTCCTAGTGGTCGATTTGTGCCCCATTGAAACCCATTATAAACGCTATTTCCCATTCCACGGTCATTACAACCAAATAATGGGCCATCTTCCGAATGTTGGTGGTACTCGGGAGTCCGGGCCTTGGAATTGTATCTTTTGGGAAATATTTGATTTCTTTGTTTTTTGGGGCTAAAAAAACAGTGCGGCCATGTGACGAAACCGGGATATAAAGGGTTAAAATCCGCGAAATGTAATTAAAACTTGATATGAATATTTCAAGGAGAAGTAGGTCTAAAAGATTGGCTAATTTAAAGTGGAAAAAAATATTAATATATAGATATTTTATGGCACTTTTCATGGCGTGGTCGATTTGTGGCTCTAAGCCCAATAGTGTATGCATTTTTCTAGGACCCCCCAGAGGTTAAGAAAGGCATGCCATGATGAACATGGATTCTAAAATGAATCTATAAAACGAATCTATATATATATATATATTAGGGGTGCAACGATATTCGTATCGATATTGAACCGTTCGATACAGTGCTTTCGGTTCGGTACGCATATGTATCGAACAATACAACATTTGTAATTTATTTTATCAATTTTCCTTCTGACGATGCTGTCTGTGTTGAGCGCTCAGTGAATCTGTGTTCGACTACTCCGCCTAGGCTGCACTGTCGAGCGCAGATCCACTGAGCGCTCAACACAGACAGCATAGTCAGAAGGAAGAAAGCAGGGCAAGCTAGCGAGACAGAAGTTAAGCTCTACTTGCAACAGGCAAATTGAACCTCATTCAGATCTGGCGTTTGGAATTACTTTGGTTTTCATGTGACGTATGACCCTGAAGGTAAGCGAGTCATGGACTAAAGTAAAACAGTATGTTGGATGTGCCATGCAATGCTCAATTACATTGGTGTGAACTAGTGTGTTAGCGCAGTTAGCTCGTTAACGTGTTTGCCGTCTAGCCCCATGCACGGAGCGATCGGCGGTAGCTCGTTAACGGAGATTTGCCGTGTTGTGGCGTTAAGGTCATTTCAACGAGATTAACCTGAAAGCACTAGTGGGAACACAACGAATATGACTGCACATTTACCCCGACATCATCCTAGTGCAAAGACAAGTGGAAGCAGACAAAAAAAAGCAAGCATGCTACTAACTTTAGCCGAGTCATTTAGACAGCTGTTAGCACATGATTCTCCTTATGCTGCTGAGAATATAGCCCAGAAGAAGCGGATAGTATAGCTTTTATTTTGGAAAGAGACATTTCTCTGTAATAAACTCTCTTTTCCAAAGATGAGTGATTCCTCAATCAGATACAGGGCTTGCAATATCGCTAGCCCGACGTCCCGGAGCTAGCGATTTTTTCAGTCAGGCTACCAAAATCTATCTCTTCCCTGCCCGTCGGGCTATTGTAGGAAAAATATATGTCAATGCTTTTGCATTCTTTCAGAAATGTAGCTGGGTAATTATGTCATTGGCATCGGTGAGTCACTGTCAATATGTGACATATTGAAGTTGCGTTTGAATTTGCGCTTGTTTTTTTGCTTTCACTTTGCAATCGTGCGAACTGTGTATAGAGAGCGACAGCACTGATCTGTGAGTGATGATAATTTGTGCACCAATTCCTCTGACATCGTCTTATTAATCGTTAGCTTACTATGCAAACATGACAAGTGAAATCTCCCGCAGCTTAAACATGTGAGAGGTTGATCGCGCAGAGAATCGCTGAGCTTATGTGAGTGAGCGTGTAAAAGCATTTCAGTTCTGCTGAGCCAAATAAGACAGGTCAGGGTGAAGAAGTGACAGCCAAAGAAAAGCTTACCACAAAACGGAGAAGTTATGACAAATCAGACTATAAGGCAAAAAGAAAGTGCAGCTTTATGGTTTCATGGACAAAAGAATTTCTGTGGCTGCAATATGATGAGCTAAATAACCAGGGCTGCACATAAGTGGTCCGCAGGTGCGCATTCGCTGTCAAAATAAAAAACACGCACAAGGGTTAGGGTTAAATTTAAAAACTGTACTTTTGAGTTAAAATATATATTTATAATTTTAATAAATGACAAATTAAAAATGCATGAACATTTTTTGTATCGAAAAAATATCGAACCGTGACGCCAAAGTATCGAACCGAACCGAACCATGAATTTTGTGTATCGTTGCACCCCTAATATATATATATATATATATATATATATATATATATATATATATTAGGGGTGCAACAATACTCGTATCGATATTGAACCGTTCGATACAGTGCTTTCGGTTCGGTACGCATATGTATCGAACAATACAAAGTTTTTAATTTATTTTATCAACTTTTCTTCTGACGATGCTGTCTGTGTTGAGCGCTCAGTGGATCTGCACTCAGCAGTGCAGCCTAGGCGGAGTAGTCGAACGCAGATTCACTGAGCCCAGGGCAAGCTCGCGAGACACAAGTTAAGCTCTCATTGCAACATAGCAAATTTAACCTCCCCCACCCTCATTCAGATCTGGCGTTTGGAACTATTTTGGTTTTCATGTGACGTATGACCCTGAAGGTAAGCGCGTCATGGACAAAAGTAAAATAGTATGTCGGATGTGCCACGCAATGCTCAATTACATGGGTGGGAACTACTGCGTTAGCGCAGTTAGCTCGTTAATGTGTTGGTTGTCCAGCCCCACGCACGGGGCGATCCGCGGTAGCTTGTTAACGGAGATTTGGTGTGTTGTGGCGTTAAGGTCATTTCAACGAGATTAACGCTGACAGCACTAGTAGGAACACAATGAATATGACTGCACATTTACACCGACATCATCCTAGTGCAAAGACAAGTGGAAGCAGACAAAAACAACAAGCACGCATGCTACAAACTTTACCTGAGTCATTTAGACAGCCGTTAGCACATGATTCTCCTTATGGGGACCTGATATGTTTAATATGCTGCTGAAAGTATACCCCAGAAGAAGTGTATACAATCGCTTTTATTTTGGAAAGAGCCATTTCTCTGTAATAAACTCTCTTTTCCAAAGATGAGTGATTTCTCTATCAGATAGATTTATTTTTTTTATTACTTTGTTGTTTCAGCAGCATTAAATTTAAAAACTGTACTTTTGAGTTAAAATATATATTTATAATTTTAATAAATGACAAATTAAAAAAGCATGAACATTTTTTTTTGTATCAAGAAATATCGAACCGTGACACCAAAGTATCGAACCAAACCATGAATTTTGTGTATCATTGCACCCCTAATATATATATATATATATATATGTATATATATATGTGTGTGTGTGTATGTACCTGGATATGAGGTGAGCTCAGGAGGCTGCACAACTCTCTAGCTGGAGCTGAAGGCTTTTGAGCTGTCAGTATTGCAGTTATGACCTAATGAAAAATTAAGAAGATTCCTGAATCAGATGTTAAATTACATTATACTGGAAAGACAGAATACCAGACATATGTAAAAGGAAAGCAAGAGACCTAAAAACACTGATTTCTATGGAAATATTTCCAGAAGAAACTTTAGATCCAGACATAATTTTAATGACTTTAACCACCTACGACCCGAACTCTTCCAGAGCATGCATTTTAATTTCTCTTTGATATTTGGGCATATTGGGACCCGATGAATGTAAAAACAAAGGATTACCAGTTTTTTGTTTTACCCTATTTTTGTTTCTAAGAAAAATGAGAGCCACATATGAGGATATCCATTTAAAATTTCGTAAGAACAGTAGCAGCATAATGTCCTCATAAGTGGATATCAGGCCCTTGTAGAGCAAAATTGAGTATTTTGGTCTAAATAACCCAAAGTGTGATGTCCTAATATGTGGACGCCAGGTCCTAGGAGGTTAAAATGACTTATCACAGTCATCTGGTCACTTGATCCACATCCTCTAAAAACTTTTTCAAAAAGGAAAGGTTTAAATCTAAATGTAAATGTAGAGAGGGTGTCTCCTGTTGTGCTTTGTATTATTTACAGAAAGCAGACATGTTCTGGTTGGTTTCTGTATTGATTACATTATCAGGCTTACTTAGTTTTAATTTTGTTACCTTTTGCAAGATGCAGAATTAAAATTCCAATTGAATCAGCTGTGATAAGGTGATATTTTACAGAACACTAATGACTGATATTTAGGGATCTAAATATTTCGTCTATGGCTGCTTGTTTGTTGTGTTGTATATATACACACCTCATGTGAGAGTCCTGCAGCATAAGGCAAAACGGGGCTTGGTGTCAGTCTCTGGAACTTTAACAGGCACTCATAAATCTGGAGACAAAGCACCAAATGATAACTTTTAGTTTGCAGACAGATGGTAGGTGTGTGTCTTTTACTCAGGACCTTTGAATCATGTACCTTCAGCAGGGCACAAAGCCACGGTGCACTCAGTAGTTCATGCAAAAGCTGAGCACCATTAATGTTCCTGCTAACAGCTTGGTCAACATCCTTCACCACACTGGATAGTACCACACTGACACCTGAACAAATGATGACATAGGGAATTAGGGAAGACACAGGGAATTCTTGGTAAATGGACTGGTAGTTATGCACCACCTTTCTACACAGCTGAGCGCTCAAAGCACTTGCAACTAATTCATCAAATTACACACACAATCATATGGCACTTATGCCTATGCAGCAGTTCAGGAAGTGCAAACTGGACTCCAACCAGCTGCTGACCTTCTACCACTTCATTGAGAGCCTGCTGACATATATCACAGTATGGTACGGCAGCTGCACTAAGGCGGATAGAGTGAGGCTTTAGAGTGTAGTCAAGGCAGCACAGAAGATAAATAATCGTACAAATAAAATATTTGCTTAAACAAACTGGAGATACTGCTATCCAATACAGATGCTGAAGTGATCCATACATAGCTAATTCAAGTTGGTTAGCTTGGGGAACAAATTTGCATTGTCTGAAATGTTGACATTAAAATGTGGTTCGAGTGCTTAGAGTAAAACCACATTTCCATATTACTTTATTTCACATTGGTACAATAATAGCAGTGGAGAAAGTTTTTTAGTAATTGAAAAATAAAAGTGCTCTCATATTGTCCAAATTTGGTTTGATTACTGTATTGTTCCAGTGTTTGCTTAACTGTCTCTTTATCTTTCACTTGGTATTGTCAGAAATAGTTAGAATTGGGGCATTAAAACTGGGGTACTGCATGATTAATTACACTGTGACTGACAGATTCCAATGAATGTCTTTAATATAATTGTCTTTAATATCACAGCAGATGTTTGAGGTTTCACATTTCTCCTGAGCAGAAGGTGAAAAGCCGACAGAACCAGACAGGATTAACATTATAGAGAAGCCCTGACCCTTCTTTTATAATAAGTCTTTTCAAGTAAGCACCTACTCATGACTGAGACACATGAATTCAAGTCTACTGAATTTGTCTGTATACGTGTATGTGCTTCTCACCATCCTCCATTGCTTGTTTCATGGTAATTGTTCAGAAGAGAATGAAAGGGTTATTCCACTGAAAAGATATGGATAAAGAAATAAAAAACAGATTTATGTAACAACCTCATTTTTTACATATTAAAAATAAAACAAATCTAGATAATTTAACAATCTTTAGTTAGTACCCATGTCATTATTAAACATAATTCAATTCATGTTGTGTGTGACTATCATCTTGTTTTATTACAACAGACAAAGAAAGATGACACATTTACATTTTCATTCCAAAAGCATTTCACCTTAGGCAGAATATCAGGTTGATCTTCATGTTTTCAAGGCATGAAAACACTCAAAATTACTACTTGGTATGGATATAATCTTCAGAGTTTGGAAGTTATGGCTGATAACCATGATTTTCATTCAAAATTGATCAACAACAGATCTTGATGCCCTGGACAATTTGACTGCAGCTGGATAAAATGAGTAGTTTTTAAGTTAATTGTACTTCAAAGTTAAGAGTCTGTAACTTTTGAGAGATCATAGCAAAGTCTTACTATTATGATTAAATGTTATGGCTGTAGAAAATAGGTGTATCTTTATACCATGTTGTAATACACATTCTACCTCAAATGGTGTCCAAATAACTAACTTAAATCATGCTGTGATTGTTTTTATTTTTTATTTTTATTGTGTAGTTTTGGTCGTTATTAGGGGTTACTTTGAATAAATACATAAAATGAATATTTTACAAATAAAATGTTAATGTTAAAATTTATTTTTAAAAAAAGAACAACAAATGATCAAAATTGCAGAGCAATGTTTAAAAATTATGTTCCTTTGAACAGCAGAGAGGGAAACAATGAATGAAGTGAATGTTTTAAATGCAGCTTATCCTACTTTAGAACTTCCTGTTACAGCAGCAGGTTACTAAATGTGGACTAATTTCAGGTTACGGCTATTCTTCAGCTGCTTATCTCGGCTCAACTTCCGTTTCCACTTACACTGTCCGGGAAGAGCTTCCATTAGTCACGAAACCTTGGGTTCTGTGAAACTCGTTACACAGTTTCATGGAACTTCTTTTAGACTATTTCTGTTGGTGTCGCTTATCAATCATGTAAGATAAATATTATCATTTAAAAAATAAATTGAATCCAGACCTATATACACCAGGGAGAACTTTGTTGCTATGCTATTGTATATAAAATATGCAATATTTTATTGTGTCTACATTATCGCCAGGAGGGTCCCATAGTGGATGGCAGCATTTATTAGTATTTCTTTGTGATTATTCTGTATGTGCGTAAATCCTTCATCCCTCATCCCTCAAGTTCTTGGTATTTCAAATGCTGTGCTACTAAGCAAACACAAAAAGGCATATAAAAAGTACAGTGAGCAAATAGGCACTCAGCTTATTTGCTCATCAGCTGTAAGTAAAGCCCCATAGAGCAAGCAGGAAGGCTGTATATGCTTAGTCTGATTTTTTTTTTAATCAATTGCACTACAAGAGTCAGAAGTGTCAAAAAAGGTAAACTCACATTCCCTTCCTGTGGTCCAATTGTTCAGTGTGGGATTTCTCAGTTGAAAGGAACCAGTAGGGCGAGTGTGTCAGAAGCAGTCAACGCCAACAACATGAATGTGAGTTTACTACCAAACCTGAACTGACACTAATCCTCTCTGACACGACTTAATCCACCAACCACCAATCTCCCTCTCTCACTCCCTTGCGCTGTCTCCTGCTCCCCCTTCTCTCTTCCCTGTTTGCTGACTTTTGCAATATTTTAAAAAAACATTTCGTTATCAGCTTGAAGTTTTTATCGCTAACCCTGTCAGTGTTCCCATGTCCACTTTTATTCTAGTTCCTGCTTTCTCGTTGTATTCTTCAGCCATCCTCATCAACTCACTCTCTCATTCACTTTAAGTAAGTCATCAAATCACAAAGCTTCTTAACTCTTCACTGCTTTTAGCCCCCCCCACACACACACAGTATAATCACACATGTTTGTATAGCTGTCTTTGTGAGAACCCTTTGTGGCATAATGCATTACCCTGCCCTTTATCTTAATCTTCCCTTAATTCCAAATCAAAGCCTAAGACAGAGCCCAAAGCCTCAAATAGCCGTGACAAGCGGCAGGTTTGTCACGATGTGAAGATCAACAAAATGATCCTTTATCTTTAATGTCCTCATAAGCGGAACATTGGTCTTGATTCTCACAATAACTGTTGGCACATACAAACAGCAGGTCAGCAAGCCAACCAGAATCAGAGTGGCAGCAAAGAATAACAGTACTTCTGGTGCATTAAATCCCACTGCAACATCTGGGTGAGGCCAGCCTGTGTCTGCTTTGTGTATGTGTGTGTTGGGGGTTATTGCAGGGTAATGGTCACTGGGTCACCTCCTCCAGGATTATTCTGCTTTCTGAAGGATCAGTGGTAGACAAAAACACAAAGAAAGAGAGAGAGGACATATAACAAAAACAGATGCAAGAAAACATGGAAAAGTAGTACCATGTTTTTCCAGCAATTCTTTCTCAATATCTGACCAGCTACAGTTCTTTGCAAAATTCACATAACAATACGTGATCAAGTGATAAATTAGGAATATAGATTTCGTGTCATGACTAGGATAAAGGGAGATTATTAGGGCCATATAAGGGCCTCTGTGATTTTGACTCAGTGGGTGTGGTCTTGCTGTCTTTCCAGTCTTAGACGCTGCCCTTCTTTACAGCTGATTCTATTTAGCAATTAGGCCGGAGTGCTTAAGTCCAAGGAGAAAAGCATTCCCGTACCAGAGGAACTTTTTGCTTTGCATGCTGTTAGGTGGATGTGTGACTGTTTATGCTTACTCTGTGAAAAGTTTGATCATTTAACCTTCTCAACTTACTTTCACGGCTGCCGAGGCGAGCCGTGTGGATTTAGAAGGAGGACCCAAGATGCAGGCAGTGGATGAGATACCGGTGGTTTTATTTACAGAGGTGTAGTGGCAAACAAACAGTGGGGCATAACAAACAACTAAAGACACCTAAACTGGGAGAACTAAAATAACAGACCTGGGAGCATATGACAACGGATGATGAATAGCAGAGAGACGCAGACGAGGAACAGGACACCGTGGAACACAGGGTAACAGACTGACACGGAGGAACACAGACGAACCGGCAACAGGCAGGAGAACACACAGGGCTTAAATACACACACCAGTAATCAGGGGATGAGAGACAGGAGGGCAACACAGCTGGGAGGAATCTGGGCTGACGGGACAGGGGAAACGTAAACTGATCACACTCACATACGACGCGGACCTTCACAATAAAACAGGAAACTCAGATACATGGAACCAGACAAGACATTGAACTAAACAGACAGATTCACAAACAGATGGGGAGACACCATAGACAGACAGATACAGACGCAGACTCAGAGGCAGATCGAAAATAACACAGAACTTAAACAATCATCTAGAAAATGATAAACTAAAAGCGCTGGGTCACCGACCCAGGACCATGACACTTACTCCATTGTTTAGTAGCTAACTTATGTGTTTTCTTGCTTTTGATGGTTTTGAAAACTCTGTTTTCAGATGTTTATAGAAAGGGAATGCTACACAGTAGTGAATATGGCCCTGTCCCAAATTCCTTGAGACTTGTTGCTGCCATCAAATTCAAAATGAGCTAATATTTTTCATGAAATTTTGGTTAGCACTGTTGCCTCACAGCTAGAATTTCCTGACTTCAATTCCAACATCAGGCCGGGGTCATTCTGTGTGGAGTTTGCATGTTCTTCCCGTGTTTATGAGGGTCCTCTCCGGGTATTCCGGCTTCCTTCCACAGTCCCAAGACATGCAGTTAGTGGGGTTAGGTTAATTGGAAACTCAAAATTAGGTGTGGGTGTGAATGGTTGTCTGTGTCTATTTGTTAGCACTGCATCTTGCCTTAAGACAGCTGGGATAGCCCCACCCCAATAAAAATATAGGGTTAATTTTTTTGGGGGGGGGGGTCTAATAAGCCTGTATCTTATTTTGAATAAAATATGGGGTTATTAGACTTACAAATCATTGCATTCTGTTTTATTTACATTGCCTTATAATTATTTTCATTTTGCATGAATGCTTGTGAATCTCCACAATATTTTTATAGTGGACAAAGATATTACTTTTGTTATTTCCTGAAAATGTATTGCTTATGTATTTTTAAAATAGTCATTATTAGCTAGAAACATTCAAGACGGATGGTCCAGATGGGCCTGGGCCCCCTTGCCCAGGTGGGTTCCAGGGTATGGGGGTGTCTACTGGGTCAGCCGGGGAGCTGGCCCCAGGGAGGGGCCTCCCTTCCTTCCCTCCCCATCTCCAGCTGCTTCCCTCTTCCCGCTCCACCACAATCACCCACACATGCAGGGCCTTGGGGTAAAGGTGTGTGGAGATGAGGGAAATATTTTACTGCTACTATTCATAACCATCATCATTTCATCAAAGCATTTATTGAAGCTGTTGGCATTATGTTAAAACTTGTATTACAGGTGTTATCATAATCACATATTAACATTTTCATTACAGGTGCAGTTATAATCATTTTATACACACATTGCAGGATTGTGCTTCTAGAGAGTTGATGTTCGGTCTATTAAAGTTCTTAAGCTTCGCGTGGCGTGACTGTCCAGGCGATCAATGGTGTAAGTGACTTGGAGCAATAGAAGGTTCAAAGCATGCACGCTTACAAGCACACATGAAAGTATTGATTCCAGGCCAAAGGCCTGAGATACATTTTGCTTCTAACTGCCTTTTAGCTTGCCTAGTAACAGGTGACAGAAGACAAGTCAAGAAAAGGACAAGCCCTCAGGGACCATTTAGGCTTGCAACTTATTGCCTTGTATGGAAGGTGTGATAGAAAAAGGAACTTCTTTGTCTAATTTTATGGGTTTAAGATTGACCATTTACTATAACTGATGCATATTATGTTCATTTGTGATGCATGAAGGGGCGTAACCCTGATGAATGAAACCATTGTGAATAGACCTTTTCGGGGAAGATCGATGCTGGTGTGGCAGTATACATCTTCCCACGCGTGTACTCAATAAATCATTGTTTGACTGAACTTTTCTGGGCCTCTGTTGGTTTGTTCCATTGCTCAACATTTTCGAACCCACAACAGGTATGTCACCAGGGTGCAGGGGAGGCATCCCCCCCTCTGTCCCCTTCTGGCTGCCTGTGCCTCAATTTTATCCCACAACTTAGACATTCACATTACTCACACTCTCATTACACATACATATAGGACCTTGGGGGTGGGCATCCAGAAGACCATCAGGATGTACAACCTCACCCCTGGCGTCGTTGCCCACCTTTCAATTTTTAAATACACGTATATATTGAGGGCTATCAGGAGGGGCTATGCGCTTACCTGCTGCTCTCTGGCAGGTAGCTCCATGCCCTCCTGGGTTTTAAATGCACCTTAGAACACACATGCATCAACACTACATATGAGCAGGTAGGCGGAGGGAGGTTTGGAGTCTTCTCACATCCCCGTTCTCTGTTGCCTGTTGGGACGGGGAGGCTGGGAGGAGTTGACCGTTTGATTGGGGTCTGGAATGTGGGGCCTCCCTGCTGCTGCGGAGTCGGGGCGGTCTGCTTCTCTCCACCCCAGGGAAGAGGGTAACACTACCTGGGTCTGGGTGCAGTTTCCCCCTCTAGGGACAAGGGTACGTAGACCCAGGGCTTAGAGTACGCTTGGGGAGTGTGATTGTGTGTACAGTGTCTATTTATGTCTGTCTCCACGTTGGGTGAGTGCTGAGTAATCGCATATGAGAGCATGAGGGTGGGAATGGATGTTTGTATCTGTGTGTGCCTGTATGTCTGTGTCTTTATGTCAGGTTGGGTATCAGACGCCAGCTCTCTAGGGACATCTCAGGCCCTCCACGGTATGGAGGCCTATTTCCCCCCACCACTCCCCCTGCCAGTGGCAGACGCCCTCAGACATCGATGAATTGGTGGTTCTTTGTGTCCAGGAATGGGCGTCCAGGTACGCACGGGCTCACTCCTGGCTTGACAGGGCCTGAAGCCTGGGGCTCGCTCGGGCCCCTTCGGGGGGTGGGGTGCCCTCAGCCTCTGGGCCTGGGGCTCGGTCACTCTGGCACAGCTGGCTGCCGGCGGAGCTCACGGGCCTCAAAGCACACTGTGTGCGCTGTCGATCCCACGTGCTGCACAATAATATTCATTATTTAGTATTTACTGTTATATTCACATAGATTATCACGATGATGTTGTTTATTATATTGCTCTTTTTTTTGTTGCTTGTTTTCTCTTTTTTCTTTCTCAACAGGCGATCCAGGTGATTGATATATGTATTTTTTGTCTGTTTGTTTTGTTGTTTTTTGTTTTTTGCCCTTTATCACCGTTCCTCTTCCCTGCTGTTTTTCTTTCCCTACCTCTCTTTCTTTCTCCCTTTTATAAAATAATAATAAAAAAAGAAACATTCAAGACAATAAAAGTAGACAAAATAAATGAAAAAGGGAAAAGAAAATCAAAACCTTCTGCACTATAAAAGACCCACAAACACATTTTCTAAACACTAAAACCAAATTGTTTATTCTGCTAACAGTTTGGTTTCTGCCTTAAGATTTTCAGCTCTTCAGGTTTCATAGA